TTGTTGATCCAAAGGAGCTGCCTCAGGTCAGTTATATATCCCAATTTACTCAGGAAAGATAAGGTTACCAGGTACAAAGACGTTTTGACAGAAGAGGGTCTTTTAAAATCTAAACAAGAGTTAAGACAACAAGGAATAGAGATAGAATGGTGGTCTTAACTCCAGATTCAAGCAAGATATCTGAAAGATAAACATGAATGGGGTATTTATAGACAAGATACGGGTCTAGATAAAATTTTGCTTGGCCCGAAAAAAAAAACAAATAAGGAATATTTACAAACACCTATTGGAGTACAGGCTATTTGAAGAACAGGTTAAAGAAACAATGGTGACATCGGCGATAGATTTAGGACACAATATCAATTTGGATCAATGGCAGCAGGTGTGGATGCAAAATAATAAATTTACATTGGCGTCATCATATAAAGAAAATTCGTATAAGATGATTTACAGATGGAATCTCCCTCCAGCAAGATTAGCCAAAATGTACAAAGGATACTCATCATTATGTTGGAAAGGGGCACATATTTTCATATTTGGTGGCTATGTAAGGAAGCACAGAGATATTGGCGTATGGTTTGTGAATGGATAACAGAAATGAGTATGCAAAACATCCAGTATAAACCTGAAACATTGTTAGGAATTCTTGAAAATAATGTTAGTAAAGAAGATAGGTATTTATTCACTCATGTGGTTACAGCGGCAAGAATTGTATTCGCTCAAAATTGGAAAGCTATGGCTATACCTAGTGAGGAAATCTTAATTCATAAAATTATGCACTTTGCAGAATTAGATAGGTTAACTAAGAGACTCAAAAATCAGGATGAAACGGATTTTTACCAAATTTGGAATAAATTTTATACATGGTGGGGGAAAAAATATGGAAGTCATTGTAATGAGATAAGTTAAGATTGAGATTAGAGTGATGTTATTGTAAAGGTTTTTTTTCTTATATTAGTAATTAATTGTGAATATAACTGAGATGTATATTAAATCTGATTTATCATGTTCAATGTTTTTAATTTTTGTTATTCAATAAAAAATATTTAAAAAAAAACAAAGGAGCTGCTTCAGCTCGAGCGGGAGGACTGCCACCCTTCCACGCTCAGGTGAGGGTCCTCAGTGCTGGTCGTCCCTCCAGGGCGACTTTCAACCCTTTCCAGGGTCTTTCGGCGAGGGAAAACTGGACGGCGAAGAGCAGACTGTCCCCGCGTGTCCGCTGGCACCGCAAACCGGAACCGGAAACCCCTCCTTCCCGCACTTGAAACAGTAGGCAGTTTTCTTACCTGTGGGTTGAGATTTTGTGGGCTCGCATGACGGCTCAGGGGGTGATCGGTTCCATGGCCTGGCGATGTCTCTTGAGTAGGTTAATTTTGGCTTCCTCTGCCAGGATGTACCAATCGTGCAATTGGCGTGGGTCTCCCTGGGGAAGGCAGGCATCATAGAGATTGTAATTCAGCCCGTCCTTGAAGTGGCTAAGCAGGATATCTTCCGGCCAATTCAGCTTATTAGCAATGGCTCGGAAATCCTGGGTGTACTCGGCCACTGGGCGCCTGCCTTGCTTCATTGTCTTAATTTTCTCACGAGCCTTCTGGTCTGCCAGTGGGTCCTCGAATCACTGTCTAAAGGAGAACATGAATTGGTTGAAGTTCTGGAGCTTGGGGTGTTGGAATCGTGTAGGTCCACCACCCAGTCAGCTGCCATGACATCCAGGGCCGCCTGTATGATGTGGATTTGCACCTTGTCAGTGGGGATGTCTCGGCCATATTCTTCCATGTAGTTGAGGACTTGGGTTAAGAAGAACCCCAGGCACCGCGGCTCTCCTGGAAAATTTACGTCCAGCGGCAGGAACTTCTGGATGGATCGATGCCCACATCATCGTCTGTGGTGTCGCCCATCTCGATTGGCAGCTGCTGCGTGGCTAGCTGCATGGCTAGCCCCATGACGGCTGCGGTCTCGGCTGCCCCACCTGATGTTCCTCGGGCTTCAGGGTCAGACTCCCCATCGGTTTCTCTTGTGCTGCAGTTCACGGTAATGGTGCGGCCACAGAGCTCGAGCTTTTCATCCTTGAGGGAGACGAGGATTGATTTCATTAGATCGATTGTCTTCTCCAGGATCCAGTTCAACTGCTCCCTGCGATCATCCTCACCTTCGCTAAGGTGTAGTGATCTCTCCATTTCTTTTTTGCATCCCAGTTGCTGGCTGCCCCACCTCAGTGTCACCTTTCTCCAATTTTTCTCCGGCTTGTCCTTCTTGCCTATGCCCATGGACCAGCAAGGTATATGGCTGTGTGTCTCCACCACCTCTTCCTCCGAGGTATAGGATGTCTCAAAGTCAGATAGCTGGCAGGATTCCAACTGAAGGGAAGGCTTTCCTTTCACGGTGGCTTCCTCCTTCTCCACACCATTGTCCAACATGGTAGATGTTGCAGAGTCCCCCGGCAAGGTTTGTCCTTCCGGGTTGCCTACTATTGCAGATCCTGTCTAATGTCAAGATCCACCTCAACACCTCATCCCAAGAAAGCAGAACTCATGGAAGCAACTTCTTCCAAAAGGAACTTTTATTAGGAGAAGTTGATGGCAGGCATACTAGACAGGATCTGAGGGAGAGAAAGAGAGGCAGCGAAGTATGAAATATGATAGATATGGGTTCTGACACATCTGAGTACAGATTAGGTGAAACCTGGCTCAAAAACAGTAACTATGAGAAGGACCTTGGAGTCCTAGTGGAGCCAGCAGTGTGCAGCAGCAGGCAAAAAAGCTAATAACAATCCTTGGTTGTATAAACAGGCACAGGCACAGAATCAAAATCATGTGAAGTATTAGTACCACTTTATAAAGCCTTAGTAAGGGCACACCTGGAATACTGCATCCAGTTTTAGTCACCACATTGCAAAAAATATGTTGAGACTTTGAAAAAAGTGTAGAGAAGAGCAAGTAAGATAACTAAAGGCCTGGAGACTAAAACATATAAAAAACGGTTGAGGATTTTGGGTATGGCTAGTCTGAGGAAGAGAAGGACTGGGGTGACATGACAGGGATGTTCCGGTATTTGAGAGTCTGCCACAAAGAAGAGAAGTCAATTTATTCTCCAAAGTACCAGAGGGCATGACAAGAAACAATGGATGGAAACTAATCGAGAGAAGCAATCTGGAATTAAGGAGAATCTTCCTAACAGTGAGGACAATTAACCAGTGGAACAGCTTGTCTTCATAAATCGTGGGTGCTCCATCACTGGAGGTTTTTAAGAAGAGACTGGAAAGCCACTCGTCTGAAATGGTATAAGATCTCCTGCTTGAGCAGGGGGTTGGACTAGAAGACCTTCAAGATCCCTTCCAGCTCTATTCTGAATTTGAATTTGAACTTTCTCTTTTGAATTGACCTACTCCCTTTTTTTAAAAATAAGATTCCTAGTGAAAGATGGGAGTGCCAGACAGCAGGAATGGGAAAACTTTGTCACTGAGTACTATTTGTCCTTACCAGGCAATCTGATCTGTTTTTGGGAAACAAGGGAGTTAAATTGGCATCAACATATTTTTTTTTCTAAGCTTATTTGTTACCAGGGCCACAGATGAGGCAGACTCAGACAAATTTTTCTTCCTGATGTATAGGATGCATAGTTAAATTTCAGTGAAAAAAAAAGCTGCTGACAGAAATGTCATATGATACATTGTTTTCAAATATTTTTTGAAGATTTGTCTTCAAAATCTCTAGCAACTTTAAAAAAATTATGTATATATAATGGTCATTTTGTAAGGGAATACTAATGTCTTGATAGCCCTTTATTCTTCAACCTGAGAGGAACATTGGTGGTAGCATCTGTTGTATTACAGTTTTTGGACTTGATTTAAAGGACATTGTGCCTGCCTGAACTGTAGATAAATGCATTGTTACAGAGTAGATATTCTCAATAAAAACTTATTTCAAAGTAATTATTATATAGGATCTGTCCTGCAGCTCTTGATATAGAGTTCAAATAGCAATATCATCGGTTTGGAGAAGTGCACTCTTGGAAAAAAGAAGGCCCAGGCTTAAATTTTAAATGTTGGATTACTTTAATATTTAAATAGTTAAACAAAAATGATGTCAATGTAACCCCAAAAATACAAATTGCATAGATACTTCATTTATATATGACATAGCTGAGGTTCTCCAGGTAATTCCCAAAGTAAAATTTTAAAATAATGAGCTAAAAGCAATGTTATTTAAAAAAAAATCAACAACTCATAAACTTCAACTTCCTAAAAATCAACCTCTGACACATTACAGGTGGGTTCTATTTTATTAAAGGATGTAAATTAACATGGACTGCTTTAAGATTGTTTTGAACTAAAACCTTAGCCCAAAGATTGCACAAAACCCAGGTGGTTCTTTATGCTAGGAATAATTCCCCTGAGTTGCTCCAAACTAATTTCTAAGATTTATACTTAAAGTGTCCATTCTCCTGCTCACTAATACAACTAGAACTGGCCCTGGAGGAAGGAGAACCACTGCAAATCAATGTTCTTCACTTGCAAGCCTCTTAAGTTATTAAAGAGCAACCAAGACAGCCGAGTGGTCAAGTAGAGTCTGGATGGGTGCACTAATCCCATCCCAATCCCGCAAAAGGCCTTCCATCAGCTGTACCAAAGGTGTCTCAATACACATCTGCTTTCCCACTTTCTTCCCCTTGTGGCAAAGTTGTGGGAGAAAAGCTTCCCTGAAATTACATCATCTGCAGCATACCTGCCCTACCCCGTTCTCTCCCCTTCCCCTGCTCACCCTTTGCTAGCAAAGCAGAAGGGGAAAAAAAGAAGGGGCTGTATTCCTGCTTTCCTTGCTCATTCTGTTGCCATGGATGGCAGGAGAAGCAGAGAAGCTCATTTGATGCAGCCCATGGGGATCACAGCACTAATAGCAGCAGTCCCACGGGACAGGTGCTCAAAGGAGGCAGTTCCCACCGCTAGACAGAACTACTTTTCTGGTTTGAAGATCTGCAATGTTGCGGGCACCTCACACAGTTCTTTCCGCTGGCGCACTTTTCTGCTGTTACACTGCGGAACAGTGCTTTAGTGCAGCCGCGTGAAAGTGCCCTCGGGGACAACGCGATACATTCCAGAAATCGTTACTTATTCCATCATAAAATGACGGCCCCCTACACCATGCAAAGGCAGTATGTTATTAGAAATTAACTGTGGCAAGAGTTGCAAGATGGACCTACTAGCGTTTTCTCTAGTTTCCTAATCGGTATTCTTTATTAATTCTTTATTAATCGACATTTTTACATCCCTGCAGTTAACAAGCTTCCGCGGTCTTGCTCCGTCGACTAAGATCTCCTTGCCAGTCTCTCCTGCCCTCATTCAATATGGCGCCACCGACCATTGCGCGAAGCAAACGACGATCTTGTGGGCGTCAGTGGATCCTCCGGTGTGATTCTATGGTTTGCGTAAGCCGGAAATTTACCTTCCCCTTCCCTCAGTGCTTGTTGTGCAAGTGGCTGTTGAGAAAGCGGGGAGGTGAGGACAGCTCGGTTCTTTCCTTCCCCCTCGGCGGGGTCTCAGGTGAGAGGGCGCCAGCCAACCGGCGGTGACAGCCCGGCCAATTCTGGGGGAGGGGGGTTGATTTCCCGGTAACGGGGGTAATGGCTCAGCTTGACGCTGGCGAGAAAGAATTGACTTTGGGGCTCAGTGTCTTTTCAGGAGAGGTCTCGTCCCGGTGATTTTGCTTGCAATGCAGACTGCCTGTCATCAGCACTGAGGCGCACTTTAGTAAAGGAAGAGAGCCGCCCAACGTCGGGGCATTATTGGTGCCTTTGTTTTATCGTCACAGAATTTTATTCCAGAAAGGTAGAGAGTCCTGTGACATTTTAAATATTAACCGGCATATTTAGAGATTAGAGTTCAGTTGGATAAGTCAGTCCATCTATCTCTGAAATATAAGATTAGGTCTAATGATCTGACATTGATTTACAGAATTAATATTGTTTTATTTCATGATCTTCTGGCCTTCTTTTGTCTGTTTGTGTTTGAAACATTTTTTTTCTGTCTAATCTGTTCTTTACTTCTCACTGTGGGGCATGCCATATTATACAACGTTTTAGATAAGTGACCAAAATTTGTATATTTCTCTGTGAGTGAATGATCCAGTGAATAGTGAGTGACATAGCTGAGCCAGGAAGTACAGTGAAATACTGAGAGTTAACAAGGAACACATAAATAGTATGCTGTAAAATATAAAATGGAAATGAGGGGCATGTACATTTAAAAATAAGAGTCTGCTTTGGTATTTCTAGTAAAGGTGTTGCTTCACTTTTGTAAGGACCCACCCCACTTTGCATCTTAAGAAGACAGAACTCTTGGAATAATTCTTCCAACAGGAATCCTTTATTAAGAGAAAATGGTTGTAGGCATGCTAGACAGGACTTGGGGTCCAAGCTCTCCCATTCAAGGTTTTAAGGGGTTCCCCAGTAGTCCCACCCAATCAACCCCCCTTCCAGTGATAGTTTCAAGTATCACAATTCCACTCCCTTTCTTCTTTCTTCCGTCTGGATGGAGACTTCAGATAACTACATGAAAGGCAACTTCCCTCCTTTGGTATGTTAACACTTCGAGGTTACAATAAACACACATTCAGCATTCAGCTCTTTGAAGTGTAAAGAAGGAAGTGAGGGCCATAAAGCCCCTTTGTTCTCCCCCTTCTCTCCCTCTTATGGCAGAATCCAGAGAAGGCAGAATTGGGAGTTTCTATATTTGATAATTTAAAGATGAAATATAATTGGATTCTGACAACTTTTTAAAAAAGGAATCAGTAGTGGTCAGACAAATTTTGTTCTATGAGTCCCAAACTTTCAATTTTCTGTGATTTAAATGTACTGCATTTACTGTTTATCAGTTCAATTTGTGCTTTGTGTTTTCTACCATTATCTCTAAATGGATACAGAAAGACAGTTAAACAAATAGTCAACAAAACCAATTAAAACTGAGAGCCAGTTTGGTCTAAAGCAGGGGTTTCCAACCAGGGATGCTCGCACCCCCTTGGGGTGCGAGATGATATTCCAAGGAGTGCAAAAACTTGGCTTTTCAAAATTATAGTGTATATGTTTAATTTGTTGCCATTATTTCAAACTTTTGTAAGTGGTGCAAGAATATATCAGAAGCATTCTAGTGGTGCGGGGGTATAGAAACGTTTGGCAACCACTGGTCTAAAGGTTAAGGCACCAGCCCAGAAAGCTGGAGACCATGAGTTCAAGTGCTCCCTTAGCTGTGAAAAGTCTGCTGGGTAACCTTGGGCCAATCACTCTCAGCCCAACCCACCTCACAGGGTTGTTGTTATGGGGAAAATAGGAAAAGGATGTGTTGGATATGTTCATTGCATTATTTCTAAAAATAATAAAGGGATATAAAATAAAACAAAATAAAAATCCATGGCTAAAGAGGAATTTAAGTTGCTCAGTGCAAGGGAAACTTGTACTTACGGTATCTTTTTGGTAACAAATTCTTATTGGCTAATTTAAGTACAGAAAATGTTTTTTACCAGTTTCTGGAATATCATGAATGTGCCTTTTTCATTGTATAAGCCTATGACTACGGAGGAAAAAAAAAAAGCAAAGTAACCGCCTTTGAGCTTAACATCAAAATCAATTCTACAGGCTTCACAAATTTGTCTTTCTCTGACTGAAAAAAAAAATGCAAAAATCTTGCACTATAGTATACCTAGGTAGTAACTGAAGTTCATTTCAAAATTAGTGATTGACCGTATGAACTAAGGCCCTCTGGTGGTTGCTTATTTTTTGGCAAAATTGCTTGCCTTTTTTCCCTCTCCCTAGTCATAGGCTTATACAATGAAAAAGGCACTTTCATGATATTCCAGAAACTGGTAAAGAACATTTTCTGTACTTAAATTAGCCAATAAAAATTTGTTACCAAAAAGATATATATATCCTTCCCTTCCATTTGCATTAAAAGGGATTCTGCTCCAAATTGTATGCATGGGGGAAAATGAATAATTAAAACTTTCTGTTTCTGCTGATTTTCTTCCTTCAGCATAATCACTTTAGGCATCCCTAGGTGAAAAAAAGGTAATGGCCTTTTGATGGTACAAATTTAAATACATCTTTTTACAAAATTGAATGCATACTTAACTATTTTTGTGTAGTTGCTTACAAATTCAAAATAAGAAAACAATTTATAGGGCAGATGCAGATGCAAACTCTTGGAAACTCAGTACTTTGTAAATTTCTTCTGGCTGAAATAACATTTTTTGTACATTTCTTAAAGAGACTTAAGTGTTTCTATTTGCCTATTTGCCTTCTTTGCAGAGCTCAAAAATATTCTTTGGTCTTTATCTTTTTGCATGTACTGTATATATGAGCTCTCCCCATAGATTTTCAACTATATTCAAATCTGGTTTCTGTGAAGACCATTTACAAACCTTAATCTTTCTTTTTTATAATACTTCATAGTTGATTTGAAAGTATGTTTTAGATCTGTTCTATTTAAATTTGTACCATGTAGAGCAGGGGTGTCAAACTGCTGGCCCGCGGGCCGGATGCGTCATCCCAAAACTGCACCCACCCCATTGCCGGCAATGGAGAAAAAGCTCCAATACGTCGTGTGACGTCATGTGACGTCGCGAGTTTGACATGCCTGATGTAGAGGCTGTATCAGCTTCTGTTCATTCTGAGATACAGTAGCACATACAAACTGATCTAACCTTTTTCATATTCTGCACAAAGTTACTTTGTTTCCAGAAAGGGCAAAAAAAAAAAAAAATTCTGGTAGAATGCACTTCCAGTGTTTTCAGTGAAATTGTTCTCAGTATGTCATGTTTACTTTAAGATATGCACATAAATTTAAAAACTTGAAATGTTTATGTTCAAGACATTGGTAGACATTTAAACATTTTCAAGGTTAGTACTGTATAGTCATAGGTATATTAACCTGGAAGACCTACTCTGATTAATATGGGTTACTCTGTTTATATTTTCAGTTTTAATGTCACATTTGTCATCATAAAAGAGTGAAAAGTTTCCTTTTCTTATATTTTTCCTGCTTTTTACAAAGAAAGGATGGGGAATGGGGTATCAAACAATATGTGCATCATGTAAATACTAACACATAGGTTTCTGATTATGCAAATGATTCACATTAAGTATGTAATTGTAAGATCTGCATTATGGCATAATCACAATTTGTTATGAATGTTGCTGAACATAAGGAATTTTACACTAATATTAATTGGGACTAATTTGTCTGAAATCATTTCTCTTTAAAGCTTCTTTGCTACTATAAAATATATTCCAAGACACTTGAGTTAGGTAATGGGATCAGAGAACAGTGCTCTAAAGCGTGATGCAGTTGAAGAACCTTCATTTACACTACCTTCTGGAGTCAATATTTATTCAGCAATATTGCAGCATGACAAACTTGCTTCAGTGTTTGTTTACAACAGAGAGAATGAAGACAATGTTAACAGAGCTGCCAAGGTATTTAAATATTTATTACATTATTACTATTTGCATAGAAACTTCTGAAATCTCTTTTCAATGGAAATTTCAAGGGTAATTTATGGGGAAAAGACACATGGCCTTTGAAATAGCAGCACAAAAAGTAAAGTTGAGCTTAATTCCTAGTGATTATTGATGTAGAACATAGAATGTATCTCTACATAGAGCAGGGCTTTTCAACCAGGGTATGGGTACTACCTGTGGTACATTGGCACTTGGCAGGTGGTACGTGACCATCCTAGAAAAGTGGTAGTGGGGGAGGGGAATGAGCTGAACCGGTGGCAGCACCGCACAAGCCTGAGTGAGAGATGGCTGGAGCTGCAGGGCTGTCAGTGCTCAGCAGAAACACCAGGATCAGTGCCGCTTTCCAGCTGATTGGCACTTCTTCAGGGCTGTCAGGGCTCAGCGGAAGCACCAGGATCAGCACCAGGCTCCAGCTGGAGCTCGGTACTGATCCTGGTGCTTCTGTTGAGCCCAGAAGAAGCGCCGATCAGCTGGAATGTTGCAGCATCTCCAGGGTCTTGTGATTTACATTCAAATGCTTGGCAACTGATTCATATTTATGACAGTTACAGTGTCCCAGGGTCATGTAAACCTGCTGCAACCACTCAGCAGATGGGAGGAATAAAAACCAAACACCCCCCACCCCACCCCCGTTGCCAATTCTCAACAGAAATGCTCACAACAATGAAACCTTGGACAGGAGGAAGAGCACTGCTGAGTGGGCAGGCAGGTGTCTTGCTCGGCTGTGGCTTGGGGAGCACTTTTTCAATGCCATTGTAACTTCAAACAGTCACTAAGTGAACTGCTGCAAGTCGAGGACTACCTGTACTTTATCACTTTTTTCCTTTTTTTTTTTTTTTTTGGTCATCAAGTTTTTGACACCTTGCTAGACGACTGGTGGTACTCGGATATTGCCATATCCTAAAAGTAGTACAATGGGTGAAAAGGTTGAAAAGCCCTGGCATAAGAGTATTATTCTGACAGGATTATGGTTGGATTCACATTGTTGTTTTGTTATAATTTATTGAATATATTTATTGAGTTTGTAGAAACATTAAAATATAAAGCATGTTTTATAAACCACAGTGACTATATTCTCACAAGTAATTAGCAATTATATTATGCTTAACATTTTATGTTCTATTTACATTCAAAGCTAGGCATGGGAAGAAAATAATAATGGTTACCGTGTTTTCCTGAAAGTAAGAAGCCCTAACTTAATTTTTGGGGGTGGGCCTAATATAAGCCCAACCTCAAAAATAAGCCCTAGTTTTGGGTCGAGGCGCATGCCTAAAAATCAAGTGGGGTTAAGGGGGTGGAGCCGCCCCACAGGCCTCATACCTGCTTTCCCATGAATCAACACTTGCCTCTCCTTGCCGGCCCACTTCTTCTGTGGCATCCCCAGGCCTGCATTTTGCGGTCAGAAGCCTTTCTGGAAGGCCTCTGCAGCTGAGAACTGAGCTATGGATTCAATCCATAGCTCAATTCTTGGCTCTATAGGCCTTCCGGAAAGGCCCCTGATTGCGAAATGCAGGCCGGAGCCCTATTCTCAGCTGTAGAATGAAGCTGCTCCTTCGGCCGCAGAAGAAGTGGGCCGGCTGGGCGGAGCTGTCGATGCCGCCGTGAGGTGAGTGGAAAAGATACCCCCTGAAAATATGACCTGTTGCTTCTTTTGGAAGCAAAAAAATAAAAATAAGATTAGGTCTTATTTTTTGGGAAACACAGTAGATACGGTATATAAATATGAATAAAATAGAGCTGGAAGGGACCTTGGAGGTCTTCTAGTCCAGCCCCCTGCTCAAGCAGGAGAACCTATATCATTTCAGACAAGTGACTGTCTAGCCTCTTCTTAAAAATCTCCAGTGATGGGGCGCCCGTGATTGAAGGAAGCAAGCTGTTCCACTGGTTAATTGTCCTCACTGTCAGGAAGTTTCTCAGACACTGATAAATATTTGTAGAAACTGGTCATTTTATATAATATTGCTGACAGGTTTTCCTGCTCTAATTTTGTGTGATATAATTAGAAAGTTTTATAACTGCATAAATATATATTCAGGCTAGTTGTTTTACAATATATATATATATTTCTAATTATTTGGCTCAGAATTGCTTTCTTGAAATCACTGATAGCCTATCCCTAAGAGCTGAAGTGTTTCTAGGACTGTTTTTTTGCTACTGCCATTTCTAGTATTAGATATTTATCCATATATTTTTCATCAAGATTGGTTTGTCCTTTGCACAATAAAAGATTGTCTGAGATGAAAGCTTACACTACAGTAAGTTATTGGCACTATTGTTATGTCATATATTAGTGCTTGAAATAGGGGCAGAGTTGGTATCTGAGGATTTGACTTTTGTTTATATATCACTGTGGCTGATAAAGTATTACTGATTCGTAACTGTTTTAGATTGGTTGGCTGCTGTTTAGTAAATTGATAAATAAAATTATAGGCATTGCAGAAGAAATTATACACTTTCTTACGTGCAGGTAGTATTTGCTTAATGACCGGTCGCATAGCGACCATTCAAAGTTACAACAGAAACCAGGCACTCTCCCCTCCCCCCGCCATCAGGTACCCATCATTCGATTTCAAAATTTCAACAGTCATATTCGGTCATGGGATTGCATTTTGGGCATTTGGCTACTGGCTACTGGCTCACATTTATGGCCATTTGCAGTATCCTACAGTCGTGTGACTGCAATTGTTGACATTTTTTTTGCCAGTTTTTGGCATTTACTTTCAGTTTCCAGCAAAAAATGCCCATGGGGTAAAATGGATTTGTTTAATGACTGCTGTATTCACTTAACAAGTGCCACAAAAAGTTGGCAAAATTGGGTGCAGTCACATGATTACCCACTTAATGATCACAACAACTTATGACTGTAATTCTGTAATTATGGTCGTAAGTTGAAAACTACCTGTTTTTTATTAAATAAATTCAGGCAGATTAGCTGTGAATTTGAGCCCTTCCCCGAAACGTCTGTGGTTTAGAAATACCTTTTTAATTCAGTGAATGAAAAGAAATATACATGCTTTCAACTATATAAGAAATAGATATGGGCAAAATATTTCAAGGCTGAAATGTTCTAACACCAGAATATTTTCCTCAGTTTTCAAGATGTGTTTTAATTTTATTGGAAGTATTCTGCCTACAAATAGGCCATTCTGACATCAGAACCCTTTAAATAAAATTGAATGGGATGTTTCAGTATTTGGACATTTTAGTCTCAAAATATTTTGCATATGTGGAGTTCTTGGTGCTCTCTGAGTGTTGTTTGCTTAAATATGTTTTATTAGATAACTTGTTACCTCATAACTAGGTGATATCATCAGTTTTACACATCTGTAGTAAGGGAAGGTGAAATTGTTGTCCAATTTGCATTGCCTGTGGTCGTCAAAATAATTTTAAATATTTTCAGGTCAGGTGAGCTCAAAAAAGCTCTGCCAATTGTAATTTTATTAGTGCCTTTTCAATTACTTTAATCTCTTTTTAAGAAATAAATGCATGATCTGATTATGGGGTGTTATTTCTTGATACATGTTCTTAAATATAATTGGGAAAGTTTTAAGTATTCTTTGATTTTGTAAATATATGGATTAAGCATATGGAATTACTTCTAAAAAGAGTGAGTTAAAATTATTATATATATCAAATAGAGACCATGACAAATTGCAAGAAGTAAATGTCAAAACTGTTGTATTTGGGGAATCCTAAAGGTTTTGATTTTGTTGTCTGCATTTATATTATTTGGATTGTAGTGAGTGATTTTGCAGACATTTTGCATACTGTATAGAGTATTTTCTGCTAGAGATTATAGTATAGGGGGTACCTTGCTCAATAGTAGTAACTGTGAGAGGGACCTCAGAGTCCTAGTGGACAATCATTTAAATATGAGCCAGCAGTGTGCTGCAGCTGCCAAAAAAGCCAACACAGTGCTAGGCTGCATTAACAGAGGCATAGAATCAAGATCATGTGAAGTGTTAATACCACTCTTCAATACCTTGGTAAGGCCACACTTGGAATACTGTATCCAGTTTTGGTCATCATGATGTAAAAAAGATGTTGAGACTCTAGAAAGAGTAAGAGAAGAGCAACAAAGATGATTAGGAGACTGGAGGCTAAAACATATAAGGAATGGTTGCTAGAATTGGGTATGTCTAGTTTAACGAAGAGAAGGACAAGGGGGGACATGATAGCAGTATTCCAATATCTCAGGGGCTGCCATAAAGAAGAGGGAATTAAGCTATTTTCCAAAGCACCTGAAGGCAGGACAAGAAGCAACGGGTGGAAACTAATCAAGGAGAGAAGCAACCTAGAACTAAGGAGAAACTTCCTGACAGTGAGAACAATTAATCAGTGGAACAGCCTGCCTCCAGAAGCAGTAAATGCTTCAACACTGGAGGTTTTTAAGAAGAGACTAAACAGCCATTTGTCTGAAATGGTATAAGGTTTCCTGCCTGAGCAGGAGGTTGGACTAGATGACCTCCAAGGTCCCTTCCAACTTTACTACTACTACTACTACTACTACTACTACTACTACTACTACTACTACTACTATTTCATAGAATTGTTTGTGAGTTGTCCTTCAAAAACATTACAGACTTACAGAAAAATGTAGATAGCCTACATATAAATCACCTATGAGATGTTATTTAAAATTAGACTTTTGGAATACCAGGATTTTTTTGTCTCATTTTATCTATGAGGCTAGAATTTGAAACCAATATACAGGTGGAAGTCCTAATTGATAGAGATCAAATTAGAATTAATTTTGTCCAAATATTCTAATGAAATATTCAATTTGTTTAATAATCATATGGAAATCATGTTGTACAGAAAGGAAGTATATAATATTTGTCTTCTCCCCCTTTCACTATTGGATATGAAGTGTGTGCATATAAGAATATGTATGTCATACTGAGTGGTGTGTTTTTTTGTTTTGTTTTGTTTGCATTTTGAAAGCACTTGAAAACTTTACGCCACCCTTGCCTTCTGCGCTTCCTTTCATGTACTGTGGAGGTAGATGGAATTCACTTGGTTACAGAGCATGTGCAACCACTGGAAAAGGTCCTGGAGACTCTCTCTTCTTCAGAGTTATGTGCTGGAATCTATGATGTTTTGCAGGCTCTTGTGTTTCTTCATGATAGGGTGAGTGTGACGATTATGCACTTTCCAATCAAAATAAAGACAGACATATGGAGATAGGCTTTGTTAATTTGTTACTTTAACACTATATTTTGTGTGTCTATCATATGTTAGGTGTTTCTTTTTACTGCTTTAGTTTTTTTGTTTTTTAACATAATTTTGTGTCACCTAATGGAAAATAGATCACATTATGCTGTATTTTTACATATCTGCATTTTTGGAAGCTAAAATAATTTTTCATAGGCCTGATTTAGGGAATGTGCCCAAAGCAGTTTTCATTCTGTTTCGTCTCTATTCTGGAACCATCCTTTGATCATCACTTTTGTTAGCCTCAGAATGTTGAGAAGAGACAAAGAAAACTCATGAGCCAATCATTTATCTGCCAAGCTAACCAATAGGAGAATTCAAAAATGATATTCAAATATCATTCTACCCCCTAAGCTGTCATTGTTTCCAGAATAAGAAAAATCCTTTCAGTCTTATCCAAATAATAGAAAATTAATTGCCACTATCATATTTCCATTATATTTACGTGGTCTTTGAAAGAATAAGCAGTTATAGTATTGCAGGAGAAGGAGCCATCTTGTTGTCAAGCATTCTAATTAAATTAAAAAGTCATTGTTGAGTTGCTGGAAGAATATGTCAGCAATATTACAACCAATCATTTTCAGTGTTGCTTTGACAATGGTTACAGGTTGCAGGACAGGACAGTGTAATGTTCACCTAAGCTAGGGGCTGGGAGACAGGTGAACAAGAACTTAGGATCATGTTTATAGAAGGAGGGAATATCAAAATGGGCATTTTAAATAGGGATGATGAAATTGACTTAAAGGCTTGTTAATGGAGGTGGTTGTGTTCCTTCTGTAGTTTAGTTAAATTGCAGACATTATTTTTTGTGCCCACAAGGTCGCCCTTGATGAAGTAAGAATAAAAGAAACGTAAAAGTAAATTGCCTACTAGTCCAAGAATTGGGGGAAAAAGTCCACCTATACTTGTACAGAGTGAAAAAAGCACTGATTCCTCTCTCAAAACAAACCAATGTTAGAGATCCTTCAATTTTTTTAAGCTGCTATTTTATATCAGGCTTGTTTTTATTTGATTCATGGGCAAAATATTTTCAAAATCAAACAAATTCATTTGCTTATGCTTTGTTTCAAGCCCAGAGGAAGCACAATTTTATAATGTTAATAATTTAAAAAGTCTATTATGCTTTACACTTTATTCTGGATTTTACATTAGATTTTGTTAAGGTGGGATAAAAAGAGTTGGTGAAGAGAATAAGGAATAAGAAGCAATGCAGGAGAAAAAATATTGGATAGGAATAACAGCATGAATTTGATTTGTGCCTGGAGACGGGAGATGAATTTCTTCTAATTAAACACATACTTGGTCATGGAAATAATTATCTGGCCCTAGATGCATTGTGTACTTAAAGTAACTATAAGAAGTGGCAGAATAAATGTAGTTACTCAATGGAATAGGCAACTGAAAAGATAGAACTATGGATTTCAGTTCTTTGTATTTGGAGCTGTATTTGAACACAGTGTCCTTAATTATTTTCTTTAGTGGTTATTGATGAATAGTTTTTCCACAACTAAAGCAAGCAAACTCTATGCAGCCTACCTTGTTCTTTTTGTCCAGATGTGTGTGAGTAATAAACTGATTAGTATAAACTTGGCCTGACACAACACTCCCTTCTTTCTAGTTCTCCAGTGGGATATAAAGTTCCTCTGTGGTTTTGACTGCTGTCCTCTGTTGTCTCAGGATATCTAATTAGTACTAACGAGACTTTTACATTTAACTATTCCCAGTCTTACTATGTATTTTTTATCTTTTTAAAAACACCTACTAGGGAAACCTAACCCACAATAATATCTGCTTATCCTCTGTATTTGTGAGTGAGGATGGACACTGGAAATTAGGAGGAATGGAAACTGTCTGCAAGCAGAATGAAGCAACTGCAGAGGTAGAGTCAAGCACCCTATTCTGTTGTCACATACAAGGGAACTACTTCCTGTTCCTTGAATGGTCTTCACTATTGCATTCCACTCTCTTGAATAGTTTGGATATTTTTAGATTCCAACATGTGTGAGTTTATTAGCCAGTCATGTTGCCTTATTTCTTTTTTCAGAGCTATTAGTAGGGTCCCCAAACTAAGAAGAAGACACGAAGCTAATTGATAAGGTTCAATGAACAATTATGTAGGAATATTGTTGCAACCTTGCAATGACATACATATATTCAGCTCTAATGAAGACACTACTTTGCTAAAGATGAAAGAATATGATCTCCTGTGGGCCCTTGATATAAAATAATTTTAAATTGGGATTCACTACAATGTTCTAATTGCTGTGGCATGTGAAGATTTGGCTTTCCCAGCTTTGACCAAATAAGAAAAGTGAAATTATACTATTCCCAATTAAGGTTGTAAGAATGATACATGACTTCTGTATTTGCGAAGTGTACAGTGAATAGAGATGGGACAGAATCTACTATTAACTTTCAGTAGTTGTCGATATTTAATATTATCCAGTATACATCAGTTGCACTTCCTGTTACTTTCAGACAAATTACACTGTCTTTTAGGGGTAATGATTTTGCTCTGTGGTATAGCCATTTTTTAAAAAAATATTTCACAATCTTATTACAGAAGTTTTGGGTTATATGCAACATAGCTTGAAATGATGCATTGGGATTTTGGAATGTCAGAAAATGCATCAACAGTAGAGGAGTAGAAAAATAAATAAATATGTTTGAATAAATATTTAGATGTGTGGTAAGGAAAGGACAAAGATAACATATATAGGTTTTTGTAGCTTCTCTTTGTGACACAAGTTCCTCTGCATTAATATGGCTTTCTATTGTTTCACCCATTGTAGTTTCTGCATAGTATCCAGTCAATACGAGAGAAGACAGGAATTCCACCTGAAGAACAGGTAAATGTTATCATTGTTTATACAGAAGAACTCTGCTGAGACCAATCTAAAAGATAACTTGAAAAAATAGTTTCTGTTAATATATGTTTAATTGTACATGTATAGTAATCAAAAGGTAACTCTTCATTATCTGTTCCATGCATATTACAAAATATTTTTTATTGTTGTTGTTGTTAATTGCGAAGTCGTGTCCAACCCATTGCGACCCCATAGACAACGTTCCTCTAGGCCTTCCTGTACCATCTTCTGGAGTCCATTTAAGCTCATACCTACTGCTTCAGTGTCTCCATCCAGCCACCTCATTCTCTGTTGTCCCCTTCTTCTATTGCCCTCAATCTTTCCCAGCATTAGGCCCTTCTCCAATGAGTCCTTTCTTCTCATTAGGTGGCCAAAGTACTTGAGTTTCAACTTCAGGATCTGGCCTTCTAAAGAGCAGTCAGGGTTGATCTCCTCTAGGACTGACCAGTTTGATTGCCTTGCAGTCCAGGGGACTCGCAGGAGTCTTCTCCAGCACCATAGTTCAAAGGCCTCAATTCTTTGGCGCTCAGCCTTTCTTATGGTCCAACTTTCACAGCTATACATTGCAACTGGGAAAACCATGGCCTTGACAATGCATACTTTTGTTGGCAGGGTGATGTCTCTGCTTTTTAGTATGCAGTCTAGATTTGCCAAAGCTTTTCTCCTCAGGAGCAAGTGTCTTTTAATTTCTTGGCTGCAGTCCCCATCTGCACTGATCTTGGAGCCTAGGAAGGTAAAATCTGTCACTACGTCCATTTCTTCCCTATTTGCCGGGAATTGAGAGGGCCGGATGCCATGATTTTGGTTTTCTTAATGTTGAGTTTCAAGCCAACTTTTGCACTTTCCTTCTTCACCTGCATCAAGAGCCTCTTTAGTTCCTACTTCACTTTCTGCCATTAGAGTGGTATCATGTGCATATCTTAGGTTGTTGATATTTCTCCCAGCAATCTTAATTCCAACTTTGGATTCATCTAGCCCTGCTTTTCTCATGATGTGCTCTGCATATACATTAAAAAGACAGGGCGACAGAATACAATTTTGAACCAATCAGTGGTTCCGTGTCCAGTTCTCACTGTTGCTTCTTGACCCGCATATAGGTTTCTCAAGAGACAAATAAGATGGTCTGGTACTCCCATCTCTTTAAAAACTTGCCACAATTTGTTGTGATCCACACAATCAAAGGTTTTAGCATAGTCAATGAAGCAGAAGTAGATGTTTTTCTGGAACTCCCTAGCTTTCTCCATCATCCAGCATATGTTGGCAATTTGATCTCTAGTTCCTCCTTCAAAATCCTGTCTGTATTTTTGGAAGTTCTCCAGACTACTGCTGGAGTCTAACTTGTAGGATTTTAAGCATAACTTTACTTGCATGTGAAATGAGTGCAATTGTGCGATAGTTTGAACATTCTTTGGCATTGCCTTTCTTTGGAATTGGAATGTAAACTGACCTTTTCCAATCCTGTGGCCACTGTTGAGTTTTCCAAATTGAGTGTAGCACTTTTACTGCATCGTCTTTTAAGATTTTGAATAGCTCAGCTGGAATACTGTTACCTCCACTAGCTTGTTGTTGCTCAGATTTCCTAAGGCCCATTTCACTTCACATTCTAGGGTGTCTGGCTCGAGGTCAGTGACCCACCCCATTATGGTTATCTGGGACATTAAGCTCGTTCTTGTATAGTTTTTCTGTGTAATTTTGCCACCTCTTCTTAATCTCTTCTGCCTCTGTTAGGTCCCTGCCATTTTGGTCCTTTATCATGCCCATCTTTGCATGAAACGTTCCCTTCATATCTCCAATTTTCTTGAAGAGATCTCTGTTCCTATTTTATTGTTTTCTTCTATTTCTTTGCACTGTTAATTTAAGAGGGCATTCTTATCTCTTCTAGCTATTCTCTGGAATTCTGCATTCAGTTGGGTGTATTTCTCTTTCTCCCTTGCCTTTCGCTTCCCTTCTTTCCTCAGCTATTTGCAAAGCTTCCTCAGACAGCCATTTTCTTTCTTGCATTTCTTTTTTTTGGGGATGGTTTTAGTTGCTATCTCTTGTACAATGTTGCGAACCTCCGTCCAAATTTCTTCAAGCACTCTGTCTATCAGATCTAATTCCTTAAGTCTATTTGTCACCTTTACTCTATATGATTTAGTTCATACCTGAGTGGCCTAGTGTTTTCCCCTACTTTCTTCAATTTAAGCCTAAATTTTGCAACGAAAAGCTCATGATCTGAGCCATAGTTAGCTCCTGCTCTTGTTTTTTCTGACTGTATAGTGCTTCTCCATCTTTGGCTGCAGAGCACATGGTCAATCTGATTTCTGTGTTGACTGTCTGGTGATGTCCATGTGTAGATCCAGTTTGCCTTGAGTCATGGATTTTACATTCCAGGTTCCTATGGAGAAAAGATCTTTACAGCATTGGACTTTCCTTTCACCACCAGATGCACCCACAACTGAGCGTCCTTTCAGCTTTGGCCCAGTCGCTTCACTTTTTCTGGCGCTACTAGTACTAGCCCTCTGCTCTTCCCCAGTAGCATATTGGACACCTTCCGACCTGAGGGGCTTATCTTCCAGTGTCATATCTTTTTGCCTTTTGGTACTGTCCATGGGGTTTTCATGGCAAAGATACTGGAGTGGGTTGCCATTTCCTTCTCCAGTGGATCACATTTTGTCAGAACTCTCTGCTATGACCTGTCCGTCTTGGATGGCCCTGTACGGCATAGCTCATAGCTTCTTTGAGTTATGCAAGCCCCTTCACCACGACAAGGCAGTAATCCATTCAGTGTTGGACCCATCTGTAAGGAAAACTGATAAAATTGACATAAGAGTTACATTCTTAAAAATGTTGGTTCTGAAGTTGCCTCCCTAAATATATTTTCTTTGAATTTCAAATTTATCAGATCCAGAAGTTCAACATAATTTTTAAAAGTAAATTTAATATATGATATCTTTTGAAGTTAGGAAGTTTCATTTAAGAACTGAGGCAAAACTTCATTCAAACAGAATTTTTACACTAAAGTACTTGATATACTTTTAAAATATCTATGATGTAAAATGAGAATAATTTATTATCTAATGCTTTTCTGAATTATGCAATTGCATTTAAACTTTGATTTAATAGTGAGCTCAGGAATGAATGTTTTTATCCTTTACTTTCTATTACCCTTAAACGGTAAAAAACATCATCCGTAGTGATATCATTATGCAAATTATGTATTTATAAAATTTTACATCATTTAAACAGGATACAGAATGTATAATTTGTGTCATTTTACATCAGTTATAACTATTATATAAATGATATTAGATTTCATAAGTTCAAGTAGGATTTTTGTTGCAATTGCAGTCTATTGCAGTGATGTCTGCCAGACTGAGTAAAAACAACATGTAAATATTGGGTTTTAGTTATATTTGTTTTCTTACCCCTTTTAAGTTTTCTTCTCCGTGATAAATATACCCAGCTCTTTCTGTAGAACCTCGTAGTACTTAATTTCCAACCCCCTTGGGTTTCCTGGTTTCTGTTCTTTGAATGCATTCGCTTTACCAACATTTTTCATAAAATTGCCCAGAATTAGCAATCTTGCAAGTGACATTATGCTTCTGCAATATACCTTAAGATTTAATTACCTTTTTTAGACACTCTGCTAACTCTGAATTTTGTCTTAATTTATTATGACATTTAGACATTTTTCATGTGTACTGCTCCAAGCAGAATGCATGTGCTTTTGTATTGTTATATTTAAATGCAATTCCAGTTTGGAGTAGGAAAGCAGGGAAGAATACAACATCGCAGTATAGCTATACAAAAAAGTTAAGGAAGATTAAAAACAAAAAGAGTGGGTGAATAGAAGGAATCACAGAGTTAGTGTCATAATGTAAATGCTCAAAATAGGGTGAAGTTGATGAAAGATGCTAAGAACAACAACAAAAAAGCTTCTTTTGGAATATCTAAAAAAGGTAGTGAAAAGAATACCAGTTGGTCAATAAAGATAGCAAAATTCTAACAAATGACATCTATTAATTTCTACTCCATCTTTATTATTTTTACAAATAACTCCGGGTGGCAAACATATCCACCTTCCTCCTCCTATTTTTATTATGTCATTATTTAATGAGATAAACTGTAGTCTGCTCAATAGGAACAAAGATTAGTGTTAAGCAGTGATTGCAACAATGCAGCTAAACTACTGAACCACAATTAAGACCATATAAGGAGAGGAATGTGGACAAATTTAAGATAGAACAAAACCAAGCCATTTATCATAAACCATAATATGCTTGTTTAAGCATTAAACAATATAATATACTGATTATGTCAGGGAATAGTACATCAGATCATTGTTAGAAAATATCCCTTTCTGAATGTAAAGAGTTTAGATTTCCAGAGAGAGGAATTGGATCCTACGATACTAAAAAAAAAGCTAATTTTATTGTCAAACTGTTAAGTATTATCTTTGAGAAAATTCAGAAAGTGGGAAAAGAATGATACAGCAACATAGTCTATTCAGCTTGATATCAAAACCTATGAAGATTGTGGAAGTAGATCAGAAAAGGACTGATTTATAAGCTCATTAAAATTTGCTAAGCCAATATGAATTTTAGGAACAAATCTTGCCAGGTGATATGCCTATCTCAAAAATATCTATCTCATATGTTTATTTGGTAGCTTCCATAATTGAATGTGGGAATGCTGTAGACATAATATAGCTTGACTTCAGTTAGTATTTGACTAAGTACCCAGTGACATTCTGATTAGCATGCCATTAAGTTTTGGCTTGATCACTTGACAATTAAATGGAGACACAAAAAAATAATATTCAAGCAGTGCTCATCAACAGTTCTTATCAAATTGAGAAGACTGAAAGAATAACATCAGGAGATGCAGAATCTCTAATATTTTTTAGATGAATATATAGCTAAAAACACATGAACTAATTCAGGCAATAGGAACAAAACTTGAATCAAAACTTGATACACTTTCAAAGGAACTTCACAAGGAAATACAACATTTGACTGGAGATATTAAATAGGTGAAGGATAGAGGGGATCTGATGGAGCATAAATTGGAGAAGTACAATATCCAGTATGAAGCTGATTTGAATGAAAGGGCTCTTTTGGAATTACAATTTAAGCAACTCCAATTAAGATTTCGAGCAGTTCCAGAATTGTCTGGAGAGGATTAGATCAAGAATTATTAAAGCCTTGGCCAGGTTAATTAATTGGGAAGAAAGACTCTCAATCTTGAAGTAGACAAAATTTATAGACTAAATTCCAGATTTGCTACCATGAGAAAATTACCAAGGGATATCTTAGTCCACTTTGTAAGAAGAATAATGACAGATCATGTTTTGGATGATATCTAAACTAAGAATGGAAAACGTGGATATGATTGTTTTGAAGGAAATCCCTGTCAGAATTTTGAGAAAAAGGAAAGCTTATTTCTTCTTTACTGATATCCTGAAGAAGAAGGAAAAAATCCCTTTTTGCTGGGACAAACTTGAAGGAGTGATATTCACTTATCAAGAGCAAAGATTCAGACTGAATTCTATAGAAAAAAGCTAAGGACTTCTTGATCAGTCTGAGCCGAGGTGGCGCAGCAGTTAGAGTGCAGTACTGCAGGCCACTTTAGCTGACTGTGTTCAGCAGGTCAGCGGTTCAAATCTCACCGGCTCAAGGTTGATTCAGCCTTCCATCCTTCCGGGATAGGTAAAATGAGGACCCAGATTGTTGGGGGCAATGTAAATATATATATACATTGCTTACTGGTGTACACCGCTTAGAGAGTGCTTGCACTTAAAGCGGTATATAAGTCTCATAAATAAATAAATAAATAAATAAATAAATAAATAAATACCAATTTTGGACCCAGCTGAAGAAATGGATACAGAGAAGCAACTAGAAGTAGATCAACCTCAAAAAGTTGATACTGAAGAAGATATGGCTGAGATGTCCAACAAAGGAGATTACATTTATAATAATGGAATATTAATGGGGCAAATGCCCATCTAAGAGTAAAAAAAATATATCTGCTGGTATAAAAAAGATTAATGGAGTTGTTCTATATATAAAACCCAATATAAACCTAAGTTACTTTTATCAGATGAATATGGTAGATTTGTAGCAGTGGAAATTGAACTTACTGGAATAAAATTAATAGTAGTTGGACTTTATGTGCCAAATGATGATAAAAGTAATTTTTTTCAATCTTACGGATCAATTACTACCTTTTTTGCATGAAAAGTGGCTTATTTTGGGGGATTGGAAAGGAGTGACTTCCAGAGTTTTGGATAGAATATCTACTAAAGGGATTAAATCCTCTCCGGGTAAACTACCAATGACTTTTTTGGAGATGATGGATAATTTAGCATTAATAAATTCATGGAGGCTAAGAAATGGCTCTGCTAGAGAATATATTTTTTTTCAGAGTGACATAAATCTGTTTCGAGGATTGACATGATATGAAAAAAAGAAAGGGAAAAGAGAATGATTGAGAAAATGTGTGAAGGTAATAACAGTTAATAAATGATCTTATCAAAAAGTCTTTCCATAATTTTTATTCTAACTTTTACAAAAAGCAGGAGCTAGATGTGTCTAAAATAATGAATATTTGTTAAGACAATGATTACCTAAACTATCACAAACCCAGAGAAAACTTATGAATGATTCACTAACTACCTTTGAAATATCAGAAGACATTAAAAAAATGAAATCAGGCAAAGCTCCAGGTCCAGATGGTCTTACAAGCCAATATTATAAATGCTTTGAAGATGAACTCCAGCCACTAAAGGATCTAATTAATGAGATATTACAGGGGATGAAGATACCTCAAACTTGGAAAGAAGCTAATATTGCATTATTACTGAAGGAAAAACAAAATGTCACGAGGATAAAAAAATTATAGACCAATTTCATTACTAAACAATGACCATAAACTTTTTGCTGCAATTTTGGCAAAAAGATTAAAGAAGGTTTTACAGGCATATATTCATGAAGATCAGTCTGGCTTTCTGCCAGAAAAGACAGTTAAAGGATAATGTGTGGACTGTTTTGAATATTATTGAATATTTACAATATCATAATGAGAAATAGGCAGCTTTAATATTCTTGGATGCAGAGAACGCCTTTGACAATTTAATGTTGTCAGATGCAATGTTGGAATGTTGGAAATGCAAAAGTAAAGGGATCTTTTATTACTTATGGTGGACATGTAACAAAGCAAAGAAATATTGGAGTAGGATTCACATCCTAATACAGAAGATTCTCAAAGTGAATATAAAGATAAAACCATAACCTTTTTTTTGGTTTTAATGAAAAAGATGTGGGGGGAGAAAATTGGAACTTTGATGCTATATATGATGACGGCAGCAAGGTTACTTTATGCTCAAAAATGGAAGGACACTTTGATTCCCACAATGGACAAATGGCTGCAAAAATTGATGGGAGTTAGCAGAGATGGCTAAACTGACTGTTTTGATTAAAGAAAAAAACACAACTACTTTTATTTCTCCTTCTGGAAACTTCTGGACTTTGTGCTCGAGATGGAAAAAATGAAACTTTGATTTCGGGTTTTACCGATTAGATAGGTTTGTTGTTATAGAAATGACTAGTTTATACTATTATGTAAAAGTAAAAGGTTGAGGTGTGATGTTATTGTTTTATTCTACTGCACCAAAGGGAGCCCAAAATCAACGCCTTTTCTTTCTTTTTTCCTCTTTTTCCTACTCTTTTCTCTCCTCCCTCCCATATCTTTCCTATTATTTTCTTTTATATTTTTGTAATTTATATTACAAATTAATTTAAAAAAGAAAAAATAGCTCTTATCAAATTTATGACAATATAATGTTGGGCTAAAGCATAACTTTTTATGAACATTAAAAGCAATTTGCAGTTATACAATGTTTCTGTAAAATTTCGTGTTGTTACTTTTAGCAGATTCTTTTTGCTTGATTTTGCTCTACTTTTTATGTCAGTTTGATAAGAAATCCCTTTACCACACATCTAGATAATTTATAAATATTTTGGGTAGCATACAGTATGTAAGACGAAAATCCTGTGTGACACACTATTTAAGATGTCATTTTAAATTAATGATGAACCATTAATGAATACATCAAGTATCCAATATTCTTGATTTCAAAATTTCTGCTGCTACAGCCAGGTGGATAAGCAGCTAACTGAACAAGCATCAAGTGTGCTTGCTCAACTAGCTGCTGATCCACCTATCTGTAGTAGTAGTGATATTAAAATCAAGAATATTACCTTTGACAAAAATATGTTAGTCCTAGAAAAGAATGCATTATTTTCTAGGTATTCACAAATTTGATCACTTAATTATTTTCCTGGAATTTTGCTTTACTATCAGACACTCATCTGTAATTTCAGTTTATTCCTCTAATTGAAGATGATAGAAATTTCTTGGTATGAGTATTTTGTATTATCTCTCTCCATTATTTCTCAAATAATGTCTGCAGGCTGTTTATCATCCTGGGAGTAACTCCTGTGGTTCTGAAAACCTGAACTTTAAAAAATTACTTAAAAAGCTACTTAAAAAAGTATTCTCTAAAGTCTAAACCTTTCTTGTAGAGCCTCTTCTTGCTTTTTATCTTGTCTATTTAATGCTACTCGCCCACTGCAAGGGTTTCTTCCCTGATGATGCCCATGATTTCAGAACCAAAAAAGTTCTTTGGTTAATGTATCTCTTACCAAGTGCCGTGACTCTGGCCTTAGCCTTATTGTAGGTCAAACAGCTCCTCCTAGATTATATGCTGTTTCTTCTATACTCTGTGCATATCTTTTTTTTATTTAAAATAAAGTCTCCTTGTTTTGATAATTTTTCTCTAATATGGTACTCTTTGTATTTCAATAGAAAGATGTACATACTGTATATTTTAAATACTTAAAGAAATATGATATATTTAAAGGTAATGTTTCGGAAATGGTTAGAGTCTTCCATATAATATTTTTATTCCAGTCTGTAGACTTCCAGCTTCTTCCTGAAGACCATGGGCATTCCCGAGATGCCTACTCATTTGGTGTAATGGTTGAAAATCTGCTTACTTTTTTAAATGAAGAAGGTAAGAATTCTTGGAAATAGAATATATTGCCTCAAATGTAAATGCACTCCCAATTCAGAATGGATAAAAGGAAGTACTTTCATATATAGTGCTTAATGGAATTGTGGAACATGTTTCTGCTTGTGGCTTTCAATATTGATCTTGTTGACCACCATCTCTAGAGCAGGGTAGGACAACTCACAATGGCCAAGTTGGCATGGATGGGTGGGTGCACTGGGTATGCATGGATGAGTTGCTGTGACTGGATGAGCATGGATGAGTTGGTGCATATGAGTGGGCTTGAAGGGGTCGGCACAGATGACTCGGTACGAATGACTTGGAGCGGCCAAATGGGCACAGATGGGTGGGTATGGCTGGATCAGTGGGGAACAAATCACACTGGCTAACTGGATATGGGGACAACTTAGTGTCCCACCAGCTCCTTGCCTCCCTGAACTGACAGCAGCCAAGCATGCAGCTGGATGCAGGTTCACCCCATTCCAGCACCACAATCTCAAAGGGAGAAAAATCCATGAAGTCTCCCGGAGCCCAAGCTGGAGCCCAATGAGGGTTGATTCACCACTCTGAAAACAAGTTCCCCGTTGCCCTCCTCCTTCTCCTCCTCCAGCCAGACTGGAGGCTTCAAGATTTGTATGAGGACGAACTGGTTCCGCCTCAATCCTATCAAAAGAGAGGTTTTAGCCCACCTGCATCTCTAGAGCTGGCATGTTTTATATCTTCCCCAAGGGGAGACAAAACCTCATCTTCCCCAAATCTTGCTGTGTATCGTTGTGGGAGTGAAGAACTGAGCTTTCTCCATCATCCTCCAGTGAAGGGGCAAGCGAGGGGCACTGCCCTACAAGGTCAGAAAACTCACTTTCTACCTCTGCCATTCCCAACAGCTGTTGGTTTGAGGCCAAGTAACTCCCGGACACCTGCTCCCCCCCCCCAAACTGGATCTTCTGTTTATTTGGAAGTTGCAGGGGGATGATGGAGAAAGCTCAGTATTAAGGAATAAATCTTGCCAGGTGATATGCCTATCTCATATTTTGATTTGGTAACTTCCATAATTGAATGTGGGAATGCTGTAGACATAATACATCCTTACTTCAGTTAGTATTTGACTAAATACTCAGTGACATTTTGATTAGCATGCTAATTAAGTTTTGGGTAGATCACTTGACAGTTAAATGGATATACACAGGGCTTTTTTTCCTCATAGAATGCCCAGAATGGAGTTCCGGCACCTTTTTGAGATGGAACCTTATAGGGTAGGCAAGGCGGGTTGTATGACGTGTGTGAGTTCTGGCACTTTTTTTTTTTTTAGAAAAAAAGCACTGGATATACATAAAAATAATACTCAAGCAGTGCTCATTGGCCCATCTGCATCTCAAGAGCTGTCACATTTTATATCTTGCCCCAAGGGAGACAAAACCTTATCTTCTTGAGATCTTGCTGTCTATAGTTGTGAGAGTGAAGAACTGAGCTTTCTATGTCATCTCCCTGCAACTTCCAAATAATAATTGGTATTGTGATTCCTTGCCAGCCAGTGGATCTGGCAGTTGAGTAATCAATCAGATGAGGAGGGGGGCCTGGAGTGACATTAGAGTCAGAGGAAGGCTCTGAGGAGCTCCAAGACTTATAGTTGGACGAGGAGCCTGGCCCCTCTACTCACGCTCAGGCTAAGACACAGCTGTGCTGGGAGCCTGAGTTGGACAGTGATGAAGAACAGCTGAGAAAAATCCCAGATGCACGAATGCGCAGGCAAGAGAAGCAAGTAGGACAGAGGAATGCAATGGGGCGGCTCCAAAGGCAAAGGAGAAGGCGTTAGGAAGCCACACCTTGGCTGAATTATAAAAGGGAAGGTGTGGGAGGCGCTGGTTGCCAAAGGCAACCATTCGTGTTGAGGATTGAGTTTCTGTGGACCATGTTTGTTTGCCTTGGACATTGACTCAGATCTGTGAGAATAAAAGGAGTTGTTTTTTTCTTGTGGTTCCTGCCTGTTTCTTGGAAGAGGGGTTTCTCCTTGTGAGCATAACAAGGACTCACATAGGCTGGGACAGAACACTTGGTCTCAACCCAACAGCTGTTGGGAATAGCAGAGGCAGAAAGTGAGTTTTTCTGACCTTGGAGGGCTTTGTGGGTCTCTCTCCCTTTGAGGTTGCAGTGCTGGAGTGGGATGAAATGACACCCAGTTCCATGCTTGGCTGCTGTCAATTCGGGGAGGCAAGGAGCTGGTGGGGTGCCGAGTTGTCCCACCTTCAGTTGGCTGGTGTGACTTGTTCCACGCTGACCTGGCCATGCCTACCCAGTGTGCCCACCCAGCTGTGCCCAATTGGCCACTCCGAGTCATCCTCACCGAGTAATCTGCGCTGACCCAACTGCGCCCACTCATATGTGCCCACTCAGCCACTCCACACCCAGTTGGCCAATGTGTCCACTTGATCCCGTCCACCCAGCCACACCCACCAGCCTGAGCCCACCTGGCTGCACCGAATCATCTGTGCTGACCTGGCGCGCCCCCTTGTCCACTGCTGCCCAGCCACACCCACCCATCTGCATTGAGCTGGCCATTGTGAATCGTCCCATTCTGCTCTAGAAAGCACAAGATTAGAAAGTTCTGATTTTAGTAAATAAAAACTCCATGTAAAATCATAAGAACTATCTCTGAAGGAACTGAGTTGTCCATTATTTGTGCCATGATATTTCTTCAGCAGGTAATTAAACCCAGTAGGTTTCTTTACAAAACCCTGCACTTCACACAATGTCATTTGTAAAATATTGTCTTTCAAACCTGGCAGTGAATAACTTCAGGGATTGTGTATAGAATACCTAGAAGAGATTTTTCAAAAATCAGTCTAATATGTCATTTAATATTAATCCAAGGCAGCAGTGGTTTGAATATCCTGTATAGATTGGATCAGCAATTGATATAAAAGTTGACAATTTTTAGTGGCTGCTTTTTGTCTTTAATTTTAAAATTTGAAATCTTCCTTCCTGATCCCAAACAGAATAATTCTGTTTTTTTGACTTGTGAGGCAAATAAACTTATAAACTCTTCTGTGCATATGTGCATCTTTATTTATTTTCTCAGAATTTTCAAGTAGAAAAACCTGTTCTTCACTTCCATTCCTTTGAAATAATCTTCTGTTATATTTCATTGCCATTTCAGTACCTGTATCTTCATTTAGTTCATTTTATTTTCTTCTTATAGCCACTATAAGGAAAAAAGAAGCTGTTCTGGAGAGTTAATGTTTGCTTAAGGTGCAAAAGAATAAATCATTTTCATTTTTCAATATGCTCTCTTGTTTTGTCAGAACTTTTTGTTCTTAGTTTCAAAGAGAATTTATTATTAAACTTTATGTTTTAGTTTCAGAGGATGTACTTTCCAGCTTTCAGCATACATTGCAGTCCACTTTGCTCAATCCAGATCTAACATGCCGCTCCCCACTGTCCAACCTACTGTGTCATCAATTTTTTAGGTAAATATGTTACTGAAATATAAACTAACTTGTCAAAGCTTTACTGGACGTGTTTTGTTTTCTAATTAAACATGGGTGAAAGGATAGGGTAGGATAGGATAGGACAGGACAGAATAGAACAGTGGTGATGAACCTATAGCACGTGTGCCAGAGGCAGCACTCGGAGCCCTCTCTGTGGGCCTGCATGCCATCGCCCCATTCCTGCTTCCCCTCGCGCCCCCTCACTAGCAGCCCCCCCAGAGGAGAGTTGCCCCTGGGCATGGCCTGCGCAGAGTAGTGCAGCCAAGGACATGGCAGCCGGGCAGCAGGGACAAGACTCCGCCCTCGTGCCCCATTGCGTGCAAATTATGCTGTGGGATGTGGGCAGAGAGCGTGGCAACCATGGTGCTGCAGGGCTGCCTGGGCGACCTGCTGCGGAGGGCCATGGAGGCGGTGGGTGGCCCTGCGGGCGGGGGGCAGGGACAGGGCGGGGGGCGGAGCGGGGAGGGCGGAGCAGGGGTGGGGCAGTTTTTGGGCACTCGGTCTCTAAAAGGTTTGCCATCACTGGAATAGAAGCTGGAAGGGACCTTGGAGGTCTTCTAGTCCAGCCCCCTGCTCAAGCAGGAGAACCTATATCATTTCAGACAAGTGACTGTCTAGTCTCTTCTTAAAAACCTCCAGTGATGGAGCGCCCATGATTTCTAAAGGCAAGCTGTTCCACTAGTTAATTGTCCTCACTGTTAGGAAGTTTCTCCTTAATTCCAGGTTGCTTCTCTCTTTGATCAGATTCCAACCATTGTTTCTTGTCCTGCCCTCTGGTGCTTTGGGGAATAGTTTGACCCCCTCTTCTTTGTGGCAGCTCCTCAAATACTGGAATACTGCTATCATGTCACCCCTATTTCTTCTTTTCTTTAGAGTAGCCAAACCCAAGTCCTGCAGCGGTTCTTCATGTTTTAGTCTCCAGGCCTTGAATTTTAGTTGCTCTTCTCTGACTTTTTCCAAAATCTCAACATATTTTTTGTAGTATGATGACCAAAATTGGTTTCAGTATTCCAGGTGTGATCTCACTAGGGTTTTATAAAGTAGTACTAATACTTTGTGTGATCTTAATTCTGTGCCTGTTTATAGAACCCAGGATTGTATTAGCTTTTTTGGCTGCTGCTGCACACTGCTGGCTCATAGTCAACTGATCATCCATTAGGATTCCAAGATCTCTCTCACTGTTACAGTTTTTGAGCCAGGTCTCGCCCAATCTGTACTTGTGCGTTTGATTTTTCCTGCCTAAATGTAAAACTTTGTTTTTCTCCACATTAAAGTTCATTTTGTTGGATAGGGCCCATTGTTCAAGTTTGGTTCCTGAGCTTGTCTTCTGGAATGTTGGCTGTTCCTGCCAGTTTAGTGTCATCTGAAAATTTGATGAGGAGCCGAATAATAACAAATAAATATATTCTTAGTTAATTTCTATTGTTCTTTACATTAGAAACTAAATAATACTGCAATTGCAATTGCTTCAATCTTGGTGATATATAAGATATGAGCAATGATTGGAAGAGTTCTAGTGTTTGCCATAATCTGTGATCAATGCACAAGCAACACTGATAGACAAAATAAGCTTTTATTAAAAGAATAATCAATATTGTTATCTACATGTTTTTCTACTGCATTCACCCAGTTTTTATAGCATAGTTTCTGATGTGAAGTAGTTTGTTTTTTGTTTTTATTTTTTAACAACTAGCTTGTGCCATAGCCTATGCTGATTTAACATGAATTGTTCTTGGGAGAAATCTCTAAGTTTGTATTTTGGTATCATCACACTGTGGAACTTGACTGCATCTTTCTATTTGCAACTGTGTCATTTTTATTTGTGGATGTTGACTTATTCTGTTCTCTTTGTATGTCTTTGCTCAATAATAACTATTTAAACTTTTTCAGAAATGATTTCTTAGAAGTTGTGAGCTTTCTGAATAGTTTAACACTGAAATCTGAGGAGGAAAAAGCAGAATTTTTCAAGTAAGAATAAATGTTGACTGTTTTCTTGCTTTTGTATATTACTTTCCAAGGCATTTTATAAAGTTCTTTGTTGTTTGTTTGGTTGACTACAATGATTACTGCTTGAGAAACTGAAAATAAAAATAACTGGGAAATACTTAAGATTTCATGTATAGTTCAGATAACCTCCTAAAAATTGGAGAGTAGCATCAAATTATAAGAAGCTAATTCCTTTTTTTTCATTTGTGCAAGTGGTCATCTTCTAAAATCTAGAAAAAAAAATTAAATTTTCAAAGTGGCAGTTCTAAAGCTAGTTATGATGGTAATTCATTACTGTATTATATTCTGATAAATAGATCAGAAACTTGTGTCTGAATTAATAATATGTGTCATTCTTTTCTACAGTACTCTACCTTTCCAGAGAAAAATAACTTGAAACCTTTTACATTAGAATGATGTATTCTGCTACTTACCTATGTTACTTGATATAGTTGAAATAATTAGCATTTTATTGGCATTTTCATAAAAATTTGCACATGAATGAAAATATGCTTTAAATTTCATTGAAGTTATTTGAAGGTGGTGTCATTTTTCAAGACATAAAATAATTTGCACAAGAATGATATAAAAGTTGTTTTATTTATTATGAAGAGTATTTAGCATACAGTATATGGGTATGCTAAATTAGGCAGCTAAGCAATTCTTGGCTTCAAGATTTTTTTTCTTGTGCCTTTGAATCAGTCTTGATGGCAAGATTTCAGAAGTGGTTTGCCATTGTTTCCTTCTCAAGGCTAAGAGAGAGTGACTGGTCCAAGGTCACACAGCTGACTTCATGCCTAAGGTGGGACCACAACTCTGGGACTCCCAGTTTCTAACCTGATGCCTTAACCATTTTGGGGACACCTTTCTTCACTGAGGCCTATTTGAAAATAATATGTGAAAGGACTTTTCTCAATATTTCTTTGTATATTATGGAATGCTCTCCATAGAAGAAATTGCTCTGCTTTCTTAGCTATTTAAAAGAGAGATAAATTTAATCTTCAAAGTTGCTTTAATATGGGAATTTCGATCTGTTAATAGCAATTATCAAAAAAGAATAGCTGCATGAACATTCCCAGGCATTTTCCAGTTCAACTGCACAGAAATAATATTTTCTATGAAATGTACATAAAATAGGAAATGGCATCATCTACCAATGTAAAAAGTACATGCTCAAAGTATATATCTGGTATTGCTTGAGACATTCAGGAAGACGACCTAATAATTGATAAGGAGTTTGTAATCTACAAAAGTTCTAGACCAAATTAACATCCTCCATGGGGTTGTGTATATGAATTTCTTACTGGTCAGATATCATGAATTAGAGACTTCAAATCCATAGTTGTGCCTTCATGTGGAGAAGTAGACATTGTGTCTTGTTACTGAGGAGGGTGGAGGGAATACAATAAGGAACTTAAATATTTAATTATGTGTCTTTGGTTGCCTTTTTGGTATGATTTGGTGGACAAGTATAATGTGGTTATTTAAAAAAAAGTGCAAGCTTGACAGATTCAATTTCCAGGTTATTAATAGGTTCATATCTGAAAAACTATATTTCTACATTTGGGGATAGAGAACAGTGGAAGAAATTATGGAGCTTGTTCTTATATTCAAAGGGTTAAATGCTCGAGATGAAGTGGTAAATGTAAAATATAAGTGTAGAAACTGTCTGAGGCACTGACCAGTTTCTTTCTTAATACAGATTCCTGCTAGATAGAGTGGCTGGCCTGTCAGAGAACCTGATTGCTTTGCGCTTGGTGCCTCTCCTGCTCAATCAGCTTGTGTTTGCTGAGCCAGTAGCTGTGAAGAGTTTTCTTCCTCATCTTTTGGGGCCCAAGAAGGGTAAACATTGAATATTATCTCTCCAGCATGCATTCAGTCTGAGAGTTGGAATGCCCCAGATGAAATGCCACAGGATGATATGATTAACCAGATCATATACATTAGGGCAGGGCTTTTCAACCGGTGGTACGCATACCACCTGTGGTACATTAGCACGTGGCAAGTGGTACACAGCCCTGCCCGGCCAAGTGTAGTGGGGGAGGGAACGACCCAGCACAGGCAAGAACTTACTGTGAGAGAGTCCTCTGGAGCTGCAGAGTGGCTGGGACAATTTCCAGGCTCACCCAGAAAAGGAGGAGGGGACGGAGACAGGAGAGGCTATAAAAGGAAGCAGTTTGGGCGGGAGAGGGAGAAAAAAAGCAGCAGCCTTGGGAGGAGGCGGAGTCAGCTCTAGCTGCATCGAAGGGAAAGGAGGAGGAGGGTAGGGAGAGGAAAGGAGATCAAGCAGGCCGACCATGAGCCGATCTACAACTGCTGTGGCAGCCACCTGTGCTGGCAGCAGCAAACAAGCAAGAAATGCAGTGAGGGAGGGGTTGCCCTCCACGAGGAATGAAAAAAGGCAGCAATGAAGAAAGGCAGCATTGGCTGGAGGTAAGGCATGGAGGGAGGCAATTTCTATTTGGTTGATGGCTGATGTCTCGTGTTAGTTTTTATTGCTCTGCTATTGTTAGCTGTAAGTTTTGCTGCAAGGAATTTTGAAGTATTTTTCTCCTTAATGGATTTTGCCTGTAGCATTCCTTTACTTATGAATGGAGCCATTTGGGGAGGTTGCCTTAGCCAGCAGCCAGTACTTGTTTACATTTTTTTTCTCCCTTAAGTGCCGGCTGCGGTCCTTAACTTCCCTTTCTAGTCAGTAGCTAATTCTTAAAGGGGAATGTGCCTTTTTAAGCTAGTTCCCTCTTTTCTGTCTCTGGAGGCTATTCCTTGTTTGATGAATATAGGGAAGAGGGAAAATATGGCGGGGGGGGGGGTGTTTCAAATTCTTCCTTCAGAAAGAGATGGGAATGAGAAAGAGGGAGGCAGGGAGGGAGGGGAAGAAGTCCCGCCTTAGCACTTGGCTACCAGCAGCCATGCCATTGACTTTGCTTGTCAAAAGGTTGCAAACGGGGATCACATGACCCTGGGACACTGTGACCATCATAAATATGAATCAGTTGCCAAGCATCCAAATATAAATCACATGACGTGGGCATGCTGCAATGGTCATAAGTGTGAAAATGATCGTAAGTCATTTCAGTGCAATTGCAACTTTGAACAGGGTTTTTTTTTTTTTTTGGTCATATAATTTTCGACATCTTGCTAGGTGGTACTCGAATATTGCCATATCCTTAAAGTGGTACAGTCGGTGAAAAGGTTGAAAAGCCCTGCATTAGGGACAAAAGTTGTGATGGCTGTTTTCACCTCTTCTACCATGTTTTCTATCCTGATTTTCTAACTCTTTCACTGAGATAATGTGCTAATGGGGTTTTTATTCTTCGAGATTAATGAAAGTTGCCATACTGACTTCCTTCTTCCTTCCCATTGGTTTCAGTAAGCAAGTAGCTTTCTCTTTTGTTTTTCACATACCGGTAGTGCTTCAAATGTTAAACAAGGCAACAGATCTTTTTTAAAACTTTTAGTTTTAAATTTTAACTAGTTAAATGTAAAATGAAATATTTGTGGTAATAGTTGTGATAACAACTTTGAATTGCCAGTTTTATCTGGCATCATCTTAACTTTCCAATTTCTTCACCCCAGATAAATTGAGTGACAGCCAGATCAGTGGCCTACTGTCTCCAGCTGTGTTCCAAGCACATGTCAGCCCAGTGCTGCTGAAACTCTTTGAGGTGCACGAAGAACATGTTCGGATGGTACTGCTGTCTCACCTAGATGCCTATGCAGAACTGTTTACACAGAAAGAGCTGAAAAACATCATATTGCCACAGGTGAAAAACATTCTACATTTTGCCCTGCTTCCTTACTTTGTCAGGTAGGGCTGACTGAGATCAGTTCAGGAGGCTTTTCCCCCCAACCTATCTATGCATATGAGATAGATGATACAGATAGACAAACATTTGTGTATCTGGATATATAAATTGACTAAGGCCATATACTCAAAAAGGGCAGGATAGGATACATCATACATACATATGGCTAAACACTTAGGGAGAATGAAGTAACGTTCTGGAAGCATAAAACTCTGCAATAAATCTTAGTGAATTGATCATAAAATAATACTTAAGTTAGGATGAATATTTAATCTGTTTTTTCTGTCTGTTTGCAAAAAAGAAACTCCAAACTTACATGGCTGATTTAGGTATGATTGACTTTTGTGCTGGGCTGCAGGCACAAGTCACCTTATGCATTACTTTGTAGTACATTCTAATTCAGTGGCTCTTACATAGACAGTGAGTAAAGGAAATTTTGCCATGGAAACTTTCAAGGGATTAGGCATGCTGAGCATTCTCATTCCAGCAGACAGCCTTCACGGACAAAGGAGACTCTACATTGCATCCTTTACACATGGAGGAGGACAAGACAAGGGTACTATTCACCTCTTAAGGGAAACAGTTGTTTCTCCCCTCTCCATTTCAGACACTTGTTCTTATTATTTATAGTGACTGCCAATTCATTTGATTACCATGTTCTAAGTTAAACAGTTCATCATTTGGACCATAGCAGGTCAAGTGACAAAATGTATATTGCAACCTCACAACTCAACTCTATAACTGAAGTACTTACGTGTAACAAGTATGCTAGTATATGAGTAGGAAAGGATGGAGTTTGTGTCATATCACGATGCATGTTTTGTCATGTTATTGTGACTAGCTATGGATGCCTGTGCTAGATAATGTAAGGTAATGTAATTTCAAGACGTAATTATGTGGGGGGGGAGGGGATTTTCTTTCTAATAAATAGAATGATTAAGGATTGTTGGTTTCTGCAGTGAGATTATTTACAAAGATAAAGTCAACCAGTCTTTTTCATTTCTCTTCAGGAATATGATTCTGAAGTTCTAGCCATCCTTTCATCTGGACTGATTTTCCCTTTTATCCACCTTTTCTTGTTTACATAGTTACACCCACTTAGTATTATCTGTGCTGGGCGGTCAGAAGTGGGAACAAGTATTTGGCATTTCAAAATTCTTTTGTATAAATATTCAATTCTAAATCTACACAAAGCAGATAAATCTGGATGAAACCAGCTTGAAAATATTGTTGTGGTAGTAAATGCTCCCAAAAACTATCTTTTGGGATATCTGCCTCCCCCCAAGTACTACAGCTATTAAGAAAGGGATTTTTCAGACCTACATTGTTTTTTTTTTTTTAACTGAAGGTGGGTAGGAAGCCAACTCCATTTGACAGAATATCTTTATTCTAGGTTTTACTTGGCTTGCGAGATACTAGTGATTCTCTAGTGGCTGTGACACTGCAAAGCTTAGGAGTGCTAGTCTCATACCTTGGACCAGATGTGGTTGTGGGGGGTGACCGAACAAAGATCTTCAAGCGTTCAGCCCCAAGTTTCACTAAAATTATGGATCTTTCCTCTGAAGGTAAATAAATATAGCCAATTTTAGCTCTATTACAAACAAAACAAGCTCTGTTGATGAAGCTAGAATAGACAATGTAATTGGAGCAACATACTTAATCACAAATCTGCTATACTTTAAAAAGGAAAGCATCAGGGACAAAGTTACATGCTTAGGTTTCATTTGGGAATAGTTACTGAACCATTAAATTGCAGTAATTTTCTCCCTGATATGGAAGACTGTTTATATAATAAGTTCTAAACAAAGCTAAAATGTAATGATGTTATGTAACTTGGAATAATTGTGTAGCTAGTAGATAGGAATCATTAATCGATACAGCAAATTATTTTTCATAAAGATGCAGTACTGTTTTATCTTATTCTGGGTGTTTGGTGAACATGCTGGATCATCAAAGAATTGGCATTACAATCTTCTGATCTCAGACGTGCTTCTGGGTTTCACTGAATTGGTTTGTAATGGGAAATGTGTGGGTAAACAGCTTCTGGACAGAGAAAATGATTTTTGAATTAAAGACTTCCCAAGATAGAATTGTCTGTGCAACTCAATTTACATAGCTCCTTACTATTTTTCCTCTTGCTCACAGTGAAATTTCAGAAGATATAAAGTAACATAAGAGACTCATCATCATAATAAAGTGTCAGATCACATGTCCCCAAAACTCTAAAAATATTAACATCTTAACATATTTCATTCATCATTACACATTAGATCTGTTCAGGCAGGTTGAACTCATGCAAGAGAAAGAATTTATGTTTTTAAATCTGTCTACTGTACCAGTAGACTTGTGGAATTAAGTCTCATTTGGGGGAAGAGCAATGTCAGAAGTAGGGCTTAAGGCTCATTTCTTTTATCAGTTTACTGTGTAGGGCGATGAGGAGAAAGCATCCTGCTGCTGGGGGATGAGGATTCCTGTTCAGATGGGTTGTCTTAGAAGACCAAATTGGACATACAGATCAGATTCCCCAGCTCCGATTTATTGCTTTTCTTGCAATTTTTATAACTGTTTATCCATCTTATAAGAGCAAATAATTCATGCTTTTATTAATGAAACTAAATAAACAGTATTCTGAAAAGTATTAAATATGTTTTAAATGTTTTGATATTAGAGTTGCTGCTTTTTTCTATATATCCTTATATATGTCTTAATATCTTAACAGATTCTTCTGATGATGTAATGAGCTGTGAGGGTAAACTAATCTATCTGCCACTACAGCATAATTCAAGTATGTTTCTCAAGTGCCACAGTTCTGGAAGTTTGCCCTTCAGCAACAAGAACAATGTACCAGGGGAAGGTTCTCACATTGCTCTAAGAAAAGGTAGCCTTGGTCCTGCTTATTTTTGCCTTTCTAAAAATTGTTATATCTGCCAGTGCAAGACAAAATCCAGATCTATACTTTTGGCTAAGATATTGGGAAATCTATGATAAAATCTGTTTCTTTTGAATGTAAATAAGTGAAATGTTATAGTAATTGAGAGAATTCTAGGCTAGGCAGCTATTATTCAGCTTTAGAAAATATTTTCTTGCCTTGCATTACAGTTAAGTCAGTAAATGGAAGTAATATGCTTGTACTGTATGTTTAAGTACAAAAGTGTGTGTGTGTGTATGTGTGTGTGACTTCATTTAGTTTCACTAAATCACTGATCAAAGCTTGTGTATATTCCCTAGGGAAGCAAGACTCTTTGAACTTATATAATATTCCTAGTAGAATAAGTACAATAAATAATGGCAAACACTGCCACCATGTGACTGAGAAGAAGACAGAAGAATGGCCAGACTGGAATGAATGTGAAGAGCTCAAGTCAGAAAAAAATAGAATTGCTGAATCCAAACTGAAAGACTTTTGTGTTAACAGCCATCCATGTCTTGCCAATCATGATGGAGAAGAGAAATCTTGGATGAAGAAAGCTCCTAGCCCTCCCTTTAAGCTCTCTTTAGGAAACAGTCACTATGATAGAGGGATAAATGACATCACAGAGCTGCATCTGCCTCCAAATACATTTGAGCCCAAAAAAGAACTTAGAACTCTCCGAAATGATTCTTTGCCAGGATCCATCAGCAACAGAGACCAGAATCAAAAGTTTTATTTGACAAAAACATCATTTCCAGAGAAACCTAAGTTGAAAAGTGGTTTAGGAGAAGAGTTTGTAATTCAGGTGAAGAGGAAAGAATTGCATGACACAGAGCTGGACTGGTTTGCAGACATGGTCCCAGATATCAAATCTTCATCATCGCTCTTAGTTCTACCAGAACTAGAGACCCATTCATTTAATCAGAATAACTCAGACACAGTTTTGAGCTCTATGAGCGATGCACAAGAAATGCAGTTTTCTTCTAAATTTGCAGCCACAGAAATTACAGAGGTAAGAATCTGAGGAACTAGTACAGTACTTTATAAAACTGCTGTGTATTAGTCAGCTACTAAAGTTATATCAGGTTGACTACATGAGAGATATGGCAAATATTCTGTCAGCTACATTCTTAGATGTGCTCACACAAGAGTGACTCAACTGAACTGTTAAGACAGTTCACCATCTGATTGAATTGAAACTTGGAATAACTTGGTTGATTTCATTTTCAGATAAGACCTATTTCTGAAGGGGCTTGGTGGACGAATAGGGAAGGACTGGTATACTTTTCCCTTCTTCCCATCTTCTGTGTGGCTTTAGTACCAGGCCACTCACCCTTCTCTCTCAGGCACTTTCCTTGCCTTAGCCACATATTTTATTTTTTTATACATATTTTATTGGTTTTAACTATAACAACCTCCAGTGCCTAGTGTACAGCATGTTGTCTTGGTTTATGTTTTAATAAAAGAAAAAAAGACAATAATAATCAATTAACAATCAATGACGAAGTTTGATAATTCCATAATTAGTATATTAATAATATATTTCTTTGATCTTCCCTTCTCTCGTTTATATTCTCCTTCAACCTAAAACAAAATGTAATTCTTAATATTTTCAATATATAAATGGTTAAATATAAACACATTTTTTATATTTGTACAAATAATAATAATCTCTATGTATAGCAATTTTTTAGCTTAGATTATTTTTATAACCATCATCTCATTAATTCACCATGCATCCTATTTTCGTCATTTTTGTTTAAGTTAAATTTCCCTTATATTCAATCCAATTCTCATCAGTCATAATTTCATGTTAGTCATCTAAATGTCCAAATTTTCCCTATCGTGCATTATAGAAATCCTGTACTTATTATCTATCTTATAGTATCTAGGTATAACATCCTTTTAAATCAGTTTATATTTCACTTATATTAATGAAAGTTACATCAACCCACTATTTTTACATTTCATATATTGTAGAACATACTATGTTACTTAAATCTCTTGTTATAGGGCCCCTTTATGTTCAAGGTTGTCTATTCTTTTAACCATATTCAAACAAGTGTTTGTTCATGTATTAGTCCATCTGGTAGGGCGAGTCAAATCCCTTGCATCTGTCTCTGGTCTTCTTCTTTTGCCGATTAATATTCCAAGTTGATATAATCTGTTTACCCAGCAGTTCCTATATTTTTGCAAATGTGGTTGGGAATGCAAAAGATGGAAGTAAGTAAGATGTATACTTTCTGTTTCCCAAACTCTTGATAGTTTTCTTAAAAATTCTATAGTCCATTCCGTTTTTATTGTTGTATCAGAATCTTGTAGATTTTTTCCTGTTTGTATTAGATTGTAATTCTTTTCATTTGTTGTTTCATCAATGTGATCATATTCTTCTAATTTGTGGTCTGTTATCTGATTTGTTTGTTCATTTGTCATTATGTCCTGGATGTTTTTAAATTGTAGATTTAAATTAGAAATATGCTTATTTAAATCATCAGAATTGTTTCGAATTTACTTGTGGTTTGAATCTGTTGTCATTTATGTTTGTCCTAACTTTGCATTTATTTCCTCCTGGAAAGTATTTGTCTTGCCTTGAAATATTGCTTCTGGAAGTCTTTGATTTTCCAGGCTAAATCCTTCAGGAGAAAATATTGAATATGGCGTCCTGTCATTTTTAGATATGTATGCGATATCCATGTTGTCTCCCCCCTTCAAATAATCTTTCATCAATGTTTTAGTTCAAGGATCAGTTATCAGTCAATTCAAAATTACAGTTAAGTATGTTAAGCCACTTTAAATCCTTCCTGTAGATTCTCCTTTGAAAGATTAGCCAAGAGCCAAGGTTTTTCTCTTCCATAAACAGTTCTTAAATTTAAACAACAGTCCAGGTGTTTTTTTTTTCCTTTTAGACACTTTTTAATCCTATAGCTGACTTAGCTCTTCCTTTGTTCCCAGCTGTCTTCAAGGTTATTTGCAATGCAAAGGAACAGATTATTCTTTATCTCTGAGCATTCTCCCAGTTTCTGAGTCCTTATTGTTAGTGTTCTATGCTCTGATTCTCCACTAGGTGCAGTTATTTCTTTTTTCAGTTTTTTTTAATCAAAAAGTTATTTTTTGTTATGTATTTTTTATAATTCTATCAAAACACTTTAGAGTATAATCTTGACAGTTCTTTAATTCCTAAATTTATTCAGATTGTAGTATTTTAAATTTAATTTTAGTATATCTCTTTCCTCCTTAATATTAATTCACTCCTTCCATCTATAAGGGAATGGGGATATAGTCCCCTCCCTTCCCTTCTGGAAGTTTTCTTGCTTTGGGGATCTTTCTCAAGGATTCAGTTAGTAGATAGAAGAAAGAAGATCAATACTCTCACCAATTCCAAGCACACTGTTCACCAATGTTCTGGTTTGTGCTCTTGGACTTCGGCTGCAAGTAGCTTGGGCTAGACATTGATCTCACGCTAGCCTTTCTCCTGTCGGGTCAGAGGACTTCCCATGGATCAAACGAAAGCGACCGCTGTCACTTCGTGATCAACGGAGCACCCTTCCTTCACGGTCACCTCTTCAGGGCGACTTCAGACACATTTAGGGTCTCCCTGGCAGGACGAAACCAGCTGTGGGGAACAGAGCTTTGCTGTCTCATGACTATGTGCTACGGGTGTAAAAACGGAAGTCCCCACATATTTTAATTCAAATGCACCACATCTAATAGCCCAACTTCCCAGTACTGTACTGTACCTTCCTTTTCCTTATATTCCTTTAACTGCTACTCCCAATCACCAGCTATTTTCCATTTTCTTTACTACCCACTACACTCAAACATTTGTGTTCTACATCTGTACGTTGTCAGGAGGCACATCATTAGAACTTGCTGTTTTGTAGAACTTTAATCCTTGGGTTCTGTTTTTATTAGTTGCACTGGCAAAGAGTATCACATGTCTTTTTTGAACAGATGATTACTTAAAGAAAACATGTATTAGCTACAGTTTCATAATGGAGAAAAGATACAAACCTATAATAGTGTTAGAGAAAAGGCATGATATTGTTATATCATGTAGTAATTATGTGAACTGACTAACTTCAATAGAATGGGGTCTGTGTCTGAGTTGGATGTGGCATCCATATTTCACTTCATAATATAGGAAGGCCACACAGGTTCTTAGTAGTGTTGTAAGAAGAGATTGTTTTGATCAGATTGAGTTAGGTTCAGGAAAATCAGGTCCTCCAAGATGGTTGTGACTGATATATTTATTGCTATTTCTGGGAAATAAAAATGACACCCTGTGAAAAAATGCACTTTCTCAAAGAGTGGTGCACAGAGTTCAATAATGTCACTGGCTGTCTTCATGATTTGATCATTATTTCAGGTGGATGGTGCTGGCTGGGAAGAAGAAGAAGATGACCTAAATTGGGAAGAAGATACTAACTGGTGATGATGATGATCTTCTAGTGGTTACAGTTCAGTAGCTTCTTTCAAAGTACCCTGGACATTCTTATTCTTCTCCTCATTCTGCACTTTCACAAGCAATGAAAACTTGGTATTTGCATATCAGTACAAGTGCTTGCCTTTCTGAGTTAAACTTTTAGGCCAAAACTACAGCAGGAATTTCCTGGCCCTGGTTGCTAACAATGAATTATTGGACAAAAGGGGATGTTACAGATATGTGGCTTTATATTTCAACAACTATTTTATTTGTGAAGAATTCTAGAAAAAATAAATGGATAAATCACTAGCTTTTTGTGCAACTTATTTTTATGAGTAAACTGGCTTCAAAACATTTCTGTAGATCCTACAAGAGAAACTTGCAATTGTTTTTACAAATGTAATTGTAGAATAACTGAGATTAAATTAGGGCAGGAGAGAAAAATCACAGGATAGCAGCAAATCTTAGTTCTTACACTAGACAGTTTATTTCCCAGATAAAATGTCCTGAAGGAGATTGTTGAGTATATGTCAGAATCCAATTATATTTCATCTCTAGTTATCAACTATGGAAAACCCCATTTCTGCCCTCTCTGGATTCTGTCATACGATGAAGGGGAAGGGGGGTGAACAAAGGGGTTTTATGGCCCTCACTTCCTTCAGTATAACTTCAAAGGACTTGAATGTGGATATCACCAAAAGGACTAAGCATAAGAATGGGGGCCATCGGCTTTGATCTGTTCCTCTCTGAAGTCTCCCTTCCACCGGCAGTGAGCAAAAGGGGGTGGAAATGTAGAGCCTGGGATTGTCGCTAGGAAGATGATGGGGGGGTGGGGCTACTGGGGACCCTTTAAAATCTTGAACTGCAGGGCTTGGGCCCCAGATCCTGTCTAGAAGGCCTGCAACCATTTTCTCTTAATAAAGATGCCTGTTGGAAGAAGTATTCCAAGAGTTCTGTCTTCTTAAGATGCAAAGTGGGGTGGATCCTTACATTAGACAAGATCTGCAAAAGTAGTCCACCTGGAAGAGAGAACCTTGCCGGGGGACTTTGCAAAAAACTACCATGTCAGACGGCGAAGCAAGAAAGGGAGAAAACTCCCCAGAAAGGGAGCTGTTGCCCCAACTGAAACCCTGCCAGATGTCAGGATCTGAGAGGTCAGATTCCTCAGGAGAAGAGGTGATGGAGACACAGGACCACAAATCTCGGTGGTCAATGGATGTCGGAAAAAAAGGCGAATGGGAAAAGAAATCAAGAAAGGTGACCCTGAGACGGGGGTCAACCAACCAGAATGGAAGCAGAAAATGGAGAAATCCCTGCACGCAAGTGAAGAGGGAGAAAACTGGGCACCGTACTTGGACTGGATCCTAGAGAAAGCTATCGACTTGATGAAGAGAACTCTCAGCTCCCTAGGAGAAGAGACTTCTGAGCCCTACGGCCGCCCAGCTCCTGGAGCCGCAAATGGAGAGACACTGAGGGGGAAGTGGGACCTGCAGCCCTGGGGACATCTACTGATCCAGTAGTCCTCACTCCCTGCCGATCCACAGATGGCGATCTGGATGGAAGACACTACCACCAAAGGCACCGGTCCATTGAAAGACTCCCACCGCTGGACGTGAAATTCAAGGGGGAGCCAACACGCTTGGGGTTTTTCCTAACCCAAGTCCTCAGCTACATGGAGGAATACGAGCGGGACATCCCCAGCAACAAAGCCCGTATCCGGATCATGCAATCTGCCCTGGACGGGCCAGCCACAGATTGGATGGTGAACTTGCACGACTCCAATGCCCCAGAGCTCAACGACTTCAACCGTTTCATGTCCTCTCTGAGAAGGCGATTTGAGGACCCCCTGGCTGATCACAAAGCCCGCGAAAGGATCAAAACGACGAGGCAAGGTAAACGCCCGGTGGCCAAATATACGCAAGAATTCCGGGGCATTGCCAGCAAACTGAACTGTCCAGAAGACATCCTCCTTAGCCATTTCAAAGACGGACTAAATTATGACCTCTATGACGCTTGCCTGCCCCGAGGGGACCCACACCAACTTGAGGAATGGTACGTCTTGCAGAGGAAGCAGAGATTGACATATTGAAGAGGCACCACCGAGGAAAACAATGGAGCCGCCCCCCCATCTGAGTTGACACACGAACTAGTGAAACCATTGGCCACAGTCAAGAAACAAATGGGGTGTTTCAAATGCAGAAGAGAAGGGCATTGAGCTGTAGAATGCTGCTCAAAAGCCCCCCAGCACAACCCAGACAGATCCCCGATCAGCAACTCCGGAAAGTCTCCAGCTAAGCCAAAAGAAACTGCCATGAGAATGATGGAGGGGGTGGAATCCCCCACCTCCACTCATCAGGGGGAAAGAACTCCAGCCTACACCGCAGGGCCGGTGGACACCTCAGATGACAGCTCGGAGGGCGAACTCCTGGTAAGTGGATGTATCGCACCCATCCTCAAGACAGTGACTATATTAATTCCCCTCATGCCCGAAGCCGTCAAGGTGAAAGCCTTAATAGACTCTGGCTGCAGCCGCTGCCTCATTAGCCCGATGCTAGTGGGGAATCTGGGCATTCTGTCGCGGAGACTCGAACAACCAATCTCATTTGGCCAGTTAGATGAGTCCATAACGGGGATGCCAGCTACCCTAGCAACTTTACCAATACACCTCTCCCTGGGCAAACATGAGGAAGACATAACATTTGTGGTGACCCCAGGCATGGATTGCCCAATGATTCTAGGGATGGAATGGTTAAAAAAATGGAACCCCTGGGTGAATTGGAGGACAGCAGAAATCAAATTCCCGAAGGGGGACCCCATGGACTTAAAATTCCAAAGGGGGCTACCAGAATCAAGAGCAGAAAAAGCATCCATGGGAGAGGAAAAGGGACTACCAGAAATACCAGAGGAATACAGAGACCTTGCTGAAGTTTTCAGTGAGGAGAGGGCGGATGAGGTCTCCCCCCCACTGACCCACGGACTGTGCCATTGAATTCAAGCCTGAGACAAAACTCCTGAAGCCCAGATTATACTCCATGAGCCCAAAGGAGAAGGAAGAAATGGAGAGATTCATAAAGAAAAACCTAGAGAGGGGTTTCATTGAGTCAGCCAAGCCTAAATGGCTGCCCCGGTCCTCTTTAGAGAGAAGAAGGACGGCTCTTTACGCTTATACGTGGATTATAGGGCCCTGAATACAATCAGTGAAAGCAACCTATACCCCCTGCCCCTCATGAAGGACATGTTGTCACACCTCTCGAAAGGGAAATTTTTTTCTAAAATAGACCTAAGGGAAGCTTACTATCGCATGAGAATTAAGGAAGGGGACGAATGGAAGACCGCATTTAACTGCCCCATGGGGTGCTATCAATTCAAAGTCTTGCCGTTTGGATTACAAGGGGCCCCGCAGTATTTATGCAATTAATCAATAATGTTCTAAGGGAGCACCTGTTTAAGGGGGTCCTGGTTTACTTGGACGACATTCTTATCTTCACTGAAACAAAAGAGGAACATGTCAACCTTGTCAGAGCGGTTTTAAAGAAACTGCGAGCCACCCACCTACATGCCAAACTCTCGAAATGCGAATTCCACCAGGAAAGGATAGACTACCTAGGTTATCGCATATCCCCACGGGGCATTGAAATGGACCCTGAGAAGGTCAGAGCAGTACTAGATTGGGTACCACCCCGCACAAGAAAGCAACTGCAAAGTTTCCTGGGCTTTGCAAACTTTTACCGCCAATTCATCCCCTCATTTGCCCAGATAGCCCTGTCCCTCACTAACTTACTAAAAACGAAGGGAGCATCCTCAGTAAAACCTAGCCAGCCACTAACATGGATAATGGAATGCCAAGCAGCGTTTGAGAGATTAAAGAGACTTTTTTCTGCCGAACCAGTACTGAGGCACCCAGACATGGATAAGCCCTTTGTAATTCAGGCGGATGCAAGTGATGTGGCAGTGGGGGCTGTTCTATTACAAGAAAACGATGAAGGGGTATTGCAACCCTGTGCATATACATCCAAGAAACTCACGGAAACATAACAGCGCTGCCCCGTATGGGAGAAAGAGGCATATGGGATACGTTGGTCATTACTCACGTGGCGCCAGTTCCTGGAAGGCAACAAAATCCCTTTCCAGGTATGGACTGATCACACCCAGGAAGCTCAACCCCAAGCAAGCCCGCTGGTCCCAGCATTTTCACCAATTCAAGCATTTGCCGGGGGGGAAGAACTTCCTGGCAAATGCACGCATGCCCCAATATAACAGCACGCAAATCACAGACTCTAAACCGATGATGGCAGAATCACAACTGGCAGCACCAGTAACCACCAGAGCCCAAGCTAAAATAAAACCACAACTGAGCAGCCAAACTGGAATTGAATTCCGGAAAAGTTTGGAAACAGATGAATGGTTCCAGAAAAACAAAAATGTGTGCACAATGAGAGACGAGCTGCCTTGCGTGGGGGATAAGTTATATATACCAACAACCCAAAGAGTCACATTCATGCAGCTTTGCCATGACACAAAGTCAGCAGGGCATCTTGGATTTGTAAAAACATTACACTTAATTAAACAGCAATTTTGGTGGCCATCCATAAAAAAGGACATAGAAAGCTACGTGGCCAGCTGCCCAAAATGTGCAACTGCAAAGAAGTTGCAAGGGAAATCGCCAGGACTATTACAAACAGTGGCTAGTCCCTCAGCCCCCTGGAGGGAAATAGCCATGGATTTTATAGTGGAATTACCAGAAAGCAATGGGAATACTGTTGTCTGGACGGTCACGGACTTGTTTTCCAAACAGGTGCACTTTATCCCTTGCCAAAAGATTAACGAAACTCTTTGTCCAGCACATTTACAGATTGCACGGGGCACCCCAACGCATCATCTCTGATAGGGGAGTGCAATTTATGTCTGCATTTTGGAAGGAATTTTTATCCCTCTTAGGAACCACTCAGGGACTGACATCTAGCCATCACCCTCAGTCAAATGGTTAATCGGAAAAATTGAACTCAGTACTTGAGCAATATTTAAGATCTTTTCTTAGTTTCCAGCAATTCAATTGGGCGGACTTACTCCCTTTTGCAGAAGTTGCCTACAATAATGTAGTCCACTCCAGCACAGGTTACACTCCTTTTCAAGTTTGGAAACGGATGAATGGTTCCAGAAAAAAATGTGTGCACAATGAAAGACGGACTGCCTTGGGTGGGGGAAAATTTATATATACCAACAACCCAAAGAGTCACATTCATGCAGCTTTGCTACAACACAAAATCAGCAGGGCATTTTGGATTTGTAAAAACTTTAAGATGTTTTATTAATTTTCAACAGTCCGATTGGACGGACTTACTCCCTTTTGCAGAAGTTGTCTACAATAATGCAGTCCACTCCAGCACAGGTTACACTCCTTTTCAAACAGCCACCGGTCAAAGTTTCACCCCATGCCAGAATTAACCCCAAAGGAACCGGCGATCCCATCACTGAAAGAATGGATGGAACAATTACAAAACACCTGGCCAATAGTTAGAAAAGCACTAGATGAAGCTAGGCAGGCATACAAAGCACAAGCCGATAAAAAAAGTGTTGAGCCTACACCATTTATTATAGGAGAAATGGTGTACTTATCTACAAAATACCTAAAATCCCTACAACCCTGCAAAAAACTTGGACCAAAATATATAGGGCCTTTTCCAATTAAAAGAATCATAAACCCAGTAACAGTAGAATTAGGATTACCGAAAACTCTCAGACAAATAAACCCATTTTTCATTGCAGCTTGCTGAAAGGAGAGCATCAGTCATCGTTACGGCCAAAAATTCCCACACCACCACCTCCAATCATGGTGGAGGGCGAACAACACTTTGAAATAAAGGAAATCCTAGACTCTAGGAGATATCATGGAGCGACTCAGTACCTAGTTGCATGGAAACACCTCCCTGCCTCACAAAACGAATAGGTCCATAAACATCATGTCAGAGCCCCAAGGCTATTAAAGAAGTTTCACACAGAGTATCCTAACAAGCCTAACTAACTTTTATACCTGTTTTGTTTTCTTTCAGGTGGATCTATCTTATTTTTAAGGGAGCAGGATGTCAGAATCCAATTATATTTCATCTCTAATCAACTATGGAAAACCCCATTTCTGCCCTCTCTGGATTCTGTCATACGATGAAGGGGAAGGGGGGTGAACAAAGGGGTTTTATGGCCCTCACTTCCTTCAGTACAACTTCAAAGGACTTGAATGTGGATATCACCAAAAGGACTAAGCATAAGAATGGGGGCCATCAGCTTTGATCTGTTCCTCTCTGAAGTCTCCCTTCCACCGGCAGTGAGCAAAAGGGGGTGGAAATGTAGAGCCTGGGATTGTCGCTGGGAAGGTGATGGGGGGGGGGGCTACTGGGGACCCTTTAAAATCTTGAACTGTAGGGCTTGGGCCCCAGATCCTGTGTAGAACACCTGCAACCATTTTCTCTTAATAAAGATGCCTGTTGGAAGAAATATTCCAAGAGTTCTGTCTTCTTAAGATGCAAAGTGGGGTGTGTCCTTACATTATACTTGTAATTTTTATGTTTTGGTAGTAAAGTCAGTATAAAAAAACTAAAGAAATAACATAAATTAACACATGTGCAACTTTTTAAATCATTGTTTTCGCGCAATTGCAGTATTTTTCAACCAAAAAGGCATAACAAATTGTAAACATAACATTAACCTGCAGCTTTCTAGATCCAGAATTACTACTAGTTCTGCCTGTTTCATGTTCAAGTCCTAATGTGGAACTTCAGTTTACAGCACTAAAATCATCCGGAAAGAATAAGCTGGTCAGACCAATGTATGCTGTTCTGTTAATCTCTGCAATGTCACCTGTAATGCTTCCAGTTTCTTTGCAAGCCAAGTAGGGGGAGGGCCTCTCTGTAACAACTGCTTCAGGGTCTCCAATGCCCTTTCCATGGTGTCAACTGCTGATTTGTACTGCATCTCAGTGGGTGAGTAACAGGTTCTCTTGGGGGATGGCTACAATTAAAAAAAACAACCAGAAGAGCAGTTCTGTAACACAAGGGATTTTAAGCAGGGAAACCTAATGAACCCAGCCATGCAATAAAATCCAGCAATTTTCCATGATGCTCTTTGATTTTCAAGCTCTATGTTCCTTATGTCTCTTATTGGAAGGTTCAAAGTGGCTCTGTTTTAAATATATAGGTATTTTATGTCTGAAATTAATCCTCCTTGCCAACAAAAAAGAATAGATTGTAATGTTGAGGGAAGCTTTTTCACACAGAGATAAGTAGTATCTTTTCAGTTACAGTCTTGTAAAGCTGTTTTGATATTACTGGCTATTTATGCAGCAGTTTGGAACCAAGAACTAGTAAAACCATGTAATAGGTCTATAGAAGCAGTTATAATCCAATTGTCACAAACTCAGTTTTGGGGATAAGATTGTTGTGTAAATATAATAAATTTTATATTTATAAAACAATATATTTTTCAGACTTATCTTCCCTACTTAAAGTAACTCCTCTAAATACAAGCCTTAAAGCAGTATTATGAAAATTCTGTTGTCATTTCTACAGATAGTCCTCAACTTACAACAATTCGTTTGGTGACTGTTTCAAGTTATAACAACATTGGGAAAATGACTTGTAACCATTTTTCATACTTATGACAGTTGCAGCATCCCCATGGTCATGTGACCAAAATTCAGATATTTGGCAACTGACTCATATTTATGACAGCTGCAGTGTCCCAGGATCATGTGATCACCTTTTGCAATTTTCTGATAAGCAAAGTCAATGGAGAAGCGAGATTCATTTAACAACTGACTTACTAATTTAACAAATTGCAGTGATTCACTTAACAACTGTGGCAAGGAAGGTTATAAAAGAGACAAAATTCATTAACTATCTTGCTTAGCAACATAAATTTTGGGCTCAATTGCCATAAATCAAGGACTTACATGCATTACAGAGAATATTAAGAAGAAGTGAACAGACTTCCACCTCTAAAATGATCTGAAGTAACGCAGTTTTGGAAGATCTGCTAGAATGTAATACATTCCTAATACAGTATAAGGTACATCACCATCACCTAATACAGTATAAGATACATCACCATTTGAATAAGAACAATTTTCATCTTGCTAGCAATCACTTTAGTAAATGTGACTCCCTCTGTATATACACCTTAGATATGTAAATTTTAATTGGAGTTAATTCCCATGAATGAAAAAATTAAGATCATATAAATGATTGTTAATGTCACAGTATCTGAGAATCCTCAATTAACCCTAATTTTTCCAATATAAAAATAACACTGTGATACCCTTTGTCATTCTGAAGTGAGATTTTCTCATTGAAAATACTATAGTATACCTCTCCAATAAGAGCTCTTTGCCCATCAGCTCTGGCCTCCAGGAAGAAGTGCATAAAAAGAGCATTTTCTTTTTTCATTCGATCTGCTTTTACTTCTGGTGTCTCCTCAATATGATTGCTCTGTGAGAGAATAACAAAAATAATCCAGTATTATTAATTAATGGCTGTTAATAGTTCCTATCATAGAAATCATCTTAGTTTACTCCTAGAAATGGGGCAAGGAGGAATAAAATTATGCAGATAGTCAGGTGGAGAAGAATAAAAGATCTAACTTAAAACTCTGTTATTTTTTCCCAGTTGTCTTCAGTTAGAAAAGTACAGATAGTACAGATAAACCTCAGTTAGTGGCTGCCTCAGGCAGTGACCATTCAAACTTACAACATAGATGAAAAAGTAACTCTGTAATCGATGCTTCTAATCAACATCTCTGTCAGTTACATGTTCATCATTACAGCCAGTTAGTACGCATGACTCTTTACTCCCCACCCCCAGGAAGATTACTTAAATGATCTATTCCTGAGTTCTCTCTGCAGCGCTTCCCCAAAAGGTACTAATGGAAAGTTAAACAAGTTTATTTCTGTAACTTTAATTAACAGGCTGTTGCCTGTAACTGGCAGAACTTTAATCATTTTTCCACTTTCAGCTTTTGTTTGCCTTCCAAGCAGCTCAAGACCTAGAACTCTGAGTGCATTAGGCAAACAGCCAGGGCACTGCTTTTAATGTGTATTTTACTGTGTTTCTGCTTACTCACTTGTAATCTTTCCCTTTCCAATGAATGTAAATACAAATATTAATTCTATTCTTGATAATTATCCCAGCAGAATGAGCATTCCAGAAAGCAGAGGAGTAGGGAAAAAGGAAAGCCAAAATAAAATTGAAAGCACAATTGTGGTCACAAGATTTTCCACTTAGCAATCACATCACTTAACAAATGGGGTGCTGGTGCCAATTGTGGTTACTAAACAAGGATTATTTGCACAATATAAATATTTAAAATAAATGTGGATAGCTACATACGGCTGTAAAGAGAAACCTATGCTTTGGGTACTGAAATGTATACTATACAGAAAAACAAGTCAGAAATCTTGTGATCTCACTCAGCAGAATTCTGCAATGCATTGGGCCAGGTGACGTGTCTAGCCAAAGTTCTAGATTATGTTCCAAGGTCCTTAAAGATTCTTATCTGTTCTGCAAGATCAATGTCTTTTAAAATAATAAAGACAGCATGCATACTAATTAATGAAACATGACTTTAAAAGTAGGTTTGACACTTTTACATTTTCTTGTATACCTTGGACAGAAAGCCAACAACTTTGTTTTTGATTTCAACAGAGTTCAGACATTTCTGAAGTATTTGTTCATGGCTTGTTCCCTTGATACAAAAACAAAACAGGAAAATAAGGAAAGTTTAGATCAATAACTAGTCAGTTTATTAAGTGTAACAATTAAGCAGTATCTTGATATTAAGATATCAAGAATACCTACTAACTACTGAATGTATTCAGCACTAGAGAAACTTAGGTTGCAATAAGTTTAATACTGAAAGTATTGAAAGTACTCATGATTCTGCTCTGCTCATATTCCCTTATTTTTTTCACATTTACCTAATTATCTCATGTAAACAATAAACATTACAATCAAAATACACTTCAAAAGAAATAGAAACACTATAAAACTTCTCCACACACTTTTCTGTCCTCAACAACTCATATTTTAAGATTTCCATTTCTCCAAAAACATGACTTGTTACTAAGCAAATATGATCTGCTATAATGAAACTCAGTCATGAGTATGATAAACAACTCAAGAATGCTGACCTAGCTAAAGTTAAATCCTCCTAACAATTATATTGCTAATAATCAGCTTGCTGTTCCCATCCCTATATTCTGTCATGCAAAAAAGGCTTGCAAAAGAGGGAAGAATATTCTTGTTTTTTAAATAAAATTTGCAGGGTAAAGGCAAAAATCTAGCCTTCCTCTACAATTTCCTCACTTTCTCAAAACTTCTGGTTATGAAATATAATTCTGCCTTTTCCCAAAACTGTAGTACATGCAGAGATTTTGAATTTGTACTTTGGGCAAGGCAAATGTTTATGCTGCTTCTAATTTCTCCAAATTCCATTACATACCAGTCCTCTAAAGCAGGGCTTTTCAACCTTTTCACCGATTGTACCACTTTTAGAATATGGCAATATTCAAGTACCACCCATTGCCTAGCCAGGTGTCAAAAACTTGATGCCCCCCAAAAACCAGGAAAAAAGTGCTAAAGTACAGGTAGTCCTCACCCCCCTTTATATCCTCTCTTCTCTCCCCTTTATATCCTCTCTTCTCTCATCCCTTTATATCCTCTCCTCTCACCCTCTTTATATCCTCTTCTCTTACCCTCTTTAATGTCCTCTCTTCTCTCTTTTATATCCTCCCTTCTCTCACCCCTTTATATCCTCTTCTCACTCTTTAATGTCTTCTCTCATCCCTTTGTATCCTCTTCTCTCACCCACTTTAATATCCTCTTCTCTCACCCCTTTAATATCCTCTTCTCACCCTTTATATCCTCTTCCCTAACCCTTTATATTCTCTTCTCACCCCTTTATATCCTCTTCTCTCACTCCTTTATATCCTCTTCTCACCCTTTTATTTCTTTTCCCTTTTATATTATCTTCTCTCCCCTTTAATATCCTCTTCTCTCACCTTTATATCCTCTTCTCTCACCCTTTAATATTCTCTTCTCACCCTTTATATCCTCCCTTCTCACCCCTTTATATCCTCTTCTCTCACCCTCTTTAATGTCCTCTCTTCTCTTTTATATCCTCTTTTCTCACCATTTACATCCTCTCTTCCCTAACCCTTTATATTCTCTTCTCACCTTTATATCCTCTTCTCACCTTTATATCTTCTCACCCCCTTTAATATCCTCTCACCCCTTTATATTCTCTTCTTACCCTTTTATATCCTCTTCTCTCCTCCCTTTTATATTCTCTTCTCTCCCCTTTGTATCTTCTCTCCCTTTATATCCTCTCTTCTCTCCCCCTTTATATCCTCTCTTCTCTTACCCCTTTTAATATCCTCTTCTCTCACCCTTTTATATTCTCTTGTCTCACCCTTTTATATCCTCTTCTCTCACCCTTTTATATCCTCTTTTCTCTCTTCTCCTTATATCCTCTCTTCTCTCACCCCCTTTATATCCTCTTCTCTCCCCCTCAGCAGGACCCAGGCGACACGTTGCACAGTTCCAGCTGAATCTCTGCCTGAAGACTGGGTGAGGCTGCCTGCCACTCCCAATCAGCTGGAGCTGTGTGTGCTGATCCTGGGCTCTCCGCAGGGCCCAGGTAGGCAATGCCTCGCGCAGCTCCAGCTGAATTTCTGCCTGAGGACTGCGTGAGGCTGCCTGCCACCTCCAATCAGCTGGAGCTGCATGCGCCAATCCTGGGCTGTCAGCAGGACCCAGGCAATGTGTCGCGCAGCTCCAGCTAAATCTCCACTCGAAGACTGCATGAGGCTGCCTGCCACCCCCAAGGCTGCCGCCAATCAGCTGGAGCTGCACTTTGATCCTCGTGCAGTTCCTGCTGCCTTCCCCATAAGCCTGTGTGGCCCTGCTGCCAGGTGCCAACGTCCAACTAGTGGTACACATACCACCAGTTGAAAAGCCCTGCTCTAAAGGACAGGTTCTGCTTCACAAATGGATTTCATCCTGAGTTAGTTTCTTGCAACAATTTGAAACAACTTAACTTGGACTATCTAAAACTTGAAAATTGGACTTACCTCTGCAAATTGAGTGAATGACTCTATGGCATGCTGTTGTATTAGCCAGCTATTGTTAGCCAGTAAAGAACCAAACAAACAGGACAAGCTGGACAGAAATTGAACCTAACAAATGAATAATACAATTAGTTTGGTTTAAATCTCTATATTAAAGTAGTTATTACAGAGATTGACCTATATAATTCATCTCCAGTTGTAGAATTAAATCACGACAGCAATTGCTAGTAACAAATGGCATTTCACTCGCTCCAGAACAAACCAGCAAACTTGCAATACCATATTGCAGCTGTTAATATGTATTCATGTATACCAAACTATATTCATCAGGGGAGTAAAGAAATGGAAATATCTTACACATTAATGACTTTTAGTTTAAAATAAATTTAGAATCAAGCCCAGATGAAGTGATTTCACCAAATTTCTGCCCCTATGAAAAAAACCAATGTCTATATACCGTGTTTCCCCAAAAATAAGACCGGGTCTTTTTTTTTCCTTTTTTTTTTATTGAAAATTTTTATAAATTTTTACAAAAAAACAAAATAACAATACAAAAACGAAAAACAACATATACAAAAAAGCTAAACATGACATAACAAAACTCCCCTTCCCCGACCCCCCCAAAACATCCCCCCCTTAGCTTCCCAGAGCAGAATATAGGCTTAATTAAAAAAGAATTTAAAAAGTTATATATATATATATATATATATATATATAAGAAAATATAACACTGAGATATATGTATATATATATATAAAAATAAAAGTTATGAAAAAGCTATGTGATATTTTTTTATATCCAATTTAAATTGTATAAATTTTATCCATTTATCCCAAACAGCAAGAAATTTCTCTTGCGTTTGTTCCTTTAAAAAAGCCGAAATCTTTGCCATTTCCGCCAAATAAGACACTTTAAGGAACCATTCCTGCATTGTAGGCAAAGATTCCTTCTTCCAGTATTGTCCTACTAACAGCCTTGCGGCTGTAATCAAATTTAACATCAATATAACCTCCTTTGTATCACAATCAGTAACTATGCCTAGCAAAAATAATTGTGGAGTAAATTTTACCCTCCTTCTAAAAATTCTCTGAATATTCCACCATATCTTAATCCAGAAGGCTTTTATCTCTCTGCACGACCACCAAATGTGATAATAGGTAGCATCCAAACAACCACATCTCCAACATTTAGGCTGTAAGTCAGGGTACATGAAAGACATTTTTTGTGGATCAAGGTGCCATCTATAAAACATTTTATAAAAATTCTCCCTTAAATTCTGTGCTTGTGTAAATTTGACATTTCTCACCCAAATGGTTTCCCAGGTATCCAATGGAACTGGTTCACTAAAGTTCTGCGCCCATCTAATCATACAATCTTTAATTAATTCCGTTTCTGAGTCCAATTCAACTAGAACCCCATAAATTCTCTTAATATGAGTTTGTCTTTGATCCTTCACTTGCTTAATAAAATTTTCATCTTCTCTAAGAAAACCCACCTTACAATCCACCTTCCATCTGTCTACTAATTGCCTGTATTGAAACCAAGAATAAATAATATTTTCTTGTGCTAACTCTTCCCGTAATTTTAACTGCCAATTTTGTCCATCCCATCTGAGTAGCTGTCTGTAAGACACCATGTCCATTTTAACACCTCTTTTTATTCCTTCTATCGCATGCCAAGGTATAGCCCATAATGGTACTTTAAAATCACCTTTATAATATTTTCTCCAAATCCTAAGTAAGGAAATTCTTATAATGTGAGATTTGAAAGCCCAATCCACTTTTTTATTGAATATTAAATAGGCATGCCACCCAAAAAGTAAATCCCATCCCTCTAGATGGAGTATCTCAAGATTTGTCAAATTTACCCAGTCACTAATTAGTGTTAAAACCACCGCATCATAGTATAATTTCAAATTCGGTACCTTGAGTCCACCTCTCTCACGGAAGTCTTGTATGATTTTAAACTTAACCCTTGGCTTTTTCCCTGCCCAAATGAATTTATTGACGCCTTTCTGCCATTCACTTAAATTAATCTCATTCTTCAAAATCGGTAACATTTGGAACAAAAAAAGAAACTTGGGTAGAATATTCATTTTTATCACTGCAATTCTTCCCATGAGAGATAATTGCAACTTCTCCCAATTCTTCAAGTCCTTCTGTACACTAGCCCACAACCTTTCATAGTTATTTTTAAATAATTTTGCATTAGAAACAGATAACAACACCCAAGTATTTTATCTTATTAACAATTTCAAAACCCGTCAAGTTAACCAGAGTCTGCTTCTCCTGAATAGTCATATTTTTAGGTAAGATTTTAGTCTTATTAACATTGATCTTAAAACCCGAAACCAAACCATAATAATGGATCAACTGTAATAGCTTTACTGCAGAATGGGTAGGTTGCGACAAAGTAACCACCAAGTCGTCCGCAAAAGCTCTTAACTTGTATTCTTTTTTGTTAACTTCTATTCCTTTAATTTCCTGCGACTCTCGAATTTTGATCAACAGTATTTCCAGTGTTAGAACAAACAACAACGGTGATAATGGACATCCCTGCCTAGTACCTTTCTCTATTGTAAAAACCTCTGACAAACCTCCATTGACAATAAGTTGTGCCGTTTGTTTTTGATATATTACCGTAAGAGCTTGTAATATCTTTTCACCAAAGTTCATCTCTTCAATTACTCTTAACATAAAATGCCAATTCAGTTGATCAAAGGCTTTTTCAGCATCTAAAAATATCAGCCCTGCGGGGACTTGGTTGTTCTTGTCTAAATATTCTAATAAATTAATGATTTGTCTAACATTGTTTTTCATGTACCTACCAGTTATAAACCCAGATTGGTCTTTATGCACAAGATGATGCACAACCCTCATAAGCCTATTTGCTAGGATTTTAACAAATATCTTATAGTCAACATTTAAAAGAGATATAGGTCTATAATTCTTTGGTAAAGTAAGATCTTGATCCTCCTTTGGAATCAAAGATATGAAAGCACTACGCCATGAAGGAGGAATCTCTGAGCCCTGTAAGATATCATTAAAAAGATCACCTAATGGTTGGATCATCTCCTCCATTAAAGCTTTATAATAAACAGCTGTCAGCCCATCCGTACCCGGTGCTTTCCCTGATTTCAATTGTTTAATTGCTATCACAATTTCCTCTTTAGTAATTAAGCCATTAATTTCATGTTTCTGATCCTCTGTCAATTTGGGAAAACTAGCCTCACTTAAGTATTTGTTTATATCTAAGATTTGCACATTAGTAGATTTGTATAGTTTTTGATAATAGTCTAAAAAGGATTTCTTGATCAATTCCTTCTGAAAAACTAATTTACCCTTATAATTTATTTTATCTATTATTCTCTGTCTCTGTTTCTTTCTTAATTGATAGGCCAACCATCTCCCTGGTTTATTGGCATTACAAAATGTATTTTGTTTCATAAACAATAAGTTAGTTGCAGCTTGATCCGCCAGCAACATATTAAATTGTGTTTTTAACAACTTTATAGATTCTTTAATGCTTTCATCTGAAGGATTTAAAATCAAAGACTTTTCTTTTAATTTAATTTCATCTTCCAATTCTTTACGTTTCTGAGTCTGCTTTTGCTTATGAAAGTTATTCATTTTTATCAAGATCCCACGCATAAATGCTTTACCTGCATCCCATACCATTGACATTGGAGTCCCCTTATACATATTTAAAGCAAAATAATCCTTTAAACACTCCTTTAACTTTTGAACATTCTTTTCTTGTCTGAATAAGTTTTCATTCACCCTCCAGGATCTTCTCTCCTCTTTTTCTTGAATCAGCTCCATCCAAACTGGACTATGATCCGTCAACGATCTAAGAAAAATCTTTACATTCTTTACTCTATTGTATAAGTCCGTTGTAATCAAAAAGAAGTCAATTCTTGAAAAGGATTGGTGTCTATCTGAAAAAAAGGTAAAGTCTCTCTCCTCTTGATTACATTCCCGCCAGTAATCCCTTAATTCCCAATCCTCCTTCATGTCAAAAAAAGCTTTAGGTAATTTTGCCTGTTTAAAAAGAGGAGAAGAACCTTTCTTATCCCTTTGTATATCTAAGACACCATTCCAATCACCCATTAGTACCACGGATCTATAGTCCAGCAAAGTTATTTTTTGATGTAACAATCTATAAAATTGTTCCTGTTGCTGATTTGGTGCATATAGTCCCACTATAAGTATTTTCTTACCATATAAACCAAGTTCAATCATCACATATCTTCCTTGGGGATCTGATTCTACCAGACAAGCTGGTAAATTTTGCTTCACATAGATAACCACTCCCCCCTTTTTCCCAGGAGCAGAAGATACAAAATGAGATCCCAGACGGGCGTTAACTAAATACTTCTGATCTTTAAGTAAAATATGAGTTTCCTGTAAGCAAATAACATCATTGTTATGTTGCTTTAAATAGTAAAAAAATTTCCTTCTTTTCTGTGGGGAATTCAAACCGTTAACATTCCAGGTCAGGAACTTTGCCATCTCCCTTAGCCAGGAGCCTGGAGAAGACTCCCTGGCGATCTGCCATTGCTGCATGTGTTGCAGAACTCTTGGGTCTTGCTCCTCCCACCGGCAATGAAACACTTTTGGAAGAAGATTCTTTAGTCTCTCTCTTGCGTTGCTCCTTCTCCTTACGTCTATATGCTGCACGGGTCATCCTCTGCTCTTTAACCTCTGTTTGACGTTGCCATTCAGCTTGCAGCATCCCAGCAGAGACCAGACCTAATGCTTCAGATTGCTGTTCCAACTCTTTGCCACTCAAGGGTTTCTGAACAGATGAAGCTGAGCCTGCACCCAGGACCATATTGTAGAACTCTTTAGCTTTATCAACCGTATTCAGCCTGTAGCGCATCCCCGCATGGCTCAGAACAATACCCGTCGGGATCTCCCATCTAAATGGCATCAATCTGGCTTTAAGCTCATTAACTAGGAAAGCAAAATCTTTCCTGTTTCTTAAAATTTTTAATGGGATTTCCTTTAAAATGATGATATCTTGGGCAGCAATCTGGAATCTCTTATTATAAAAAGCTTGTATAATTTCGTTGCGCAGAGACTTCTTTGTAAAATAAATCACAACAT